GTAGTCAGGCAGATGCCAAGCACTATAAGACAAATTCTTTACAGAGGTTATGAGCATAGTTTCTCAGATTTTCAGCATAGATCTAAGAATTAACTGCAGAGTTTGTTAAAATGCCAGAATTTCAGGCTAAGCCCCAGATTTTAATTTAGTGGGATGGGGATGGAATCTAGTTATCTGTAAATTATTGACCAACTAAATGACTTTTAAGAGATAAAGAGATTACTATGGAGTTAAGCATGCCCTTCTTTCTTATTTGAACAGGATAAATGGATGATGAATAGGATAGAATGAACGTTACTAGGAGAAGCAAAGTAAAGCAAAAATAAACCAAGTTGTTTTAGCCTAGTTTAGAAGGTTTAGATTGGAAAAGGCCTCCAGTATCAAACTAAAAACCTTAGGGATTATAATCTTAAAACCATGCTAGGTTTCAGAATAGGGGAATGACATTTATGTGAGTGACTTTTAAAGGAATGTTTATTTGATGGGATGAATTGCAAAGTTGGAAAGCCAGTTAGACAGTATAGAATGAAGTGATAAGGTGAGCATCAGGGAGGAGGTCCCAACGGTAGGAAATAGAATCTCAATAGACAGACTAGTAAGAAATGTTGAATTTCCTTTCACATATTTAAGGATAAGAAGTTAACATTAAATACAATATTAAAAAATATTCATTACACACATAGTAATAATAATGATAGCAAGGACAACAATAAAAATAAGAATAAAATCATCTTCAGCACATTTTTTTTCAGATGTATACTTGCATGATTCTTGAAACTCCATAGGAGCTCAACAGCAGTTTGTATTCCCTGGAATGATTATTAAAAAGAGGTATCAGTATTCTAAATTAAAATGAGTCTATCAGTTGTTATAAATTAAAAACAGGCATTTCCTATCTTCTGTAAGCCAGATGAAGCAATGTTTGCATTCTGTAGCATAGGTTTATTTATATTTCATCATTCACTAATTCAGTGAATTTTGATTGTCAAGGATACAAAATTCACATTCAAGAAAGAGAGAAAATCAGCTTCTCCATAACTACAAATGAGACATTTAGGTTAAAATGCTATGTTAGGCATGGTAGAGGGAATAACTGGTGGGGGCCGGGTAAGAGCAAAAAAAGTCAGACCAGCCTTCCAAGAAGATGGAATTTGAACTGGGCTTGAAGGACAGGTGGGATCTGGACACATGGAAAATAGAGTATGGGAGGAAGAAAGAAAAGCATTTGACACAAAATCTCAGTAAGAACTGCTTCTTATATCAGAAACTGTCAACAAATTTTCACAGGTCACAAAAACGGATAACTTGCTAAATGCTGTGAAAGCAAATCCAAAGGAAGATGAAACTTTTACGCATTTATTCATTTCTTACCTTCTTTCAGTGGGGTTTTGAGAGTAAAATTTTCTTTACTTTCATGAAGAAAAGCCTTTGAAGGATCAAAGTGTTTGATACCCAGAACTTTATTCAATTCCTCTTGAAGTTTTGTCTCACTTTGCTTTTTTTTAGCAAGCTGAGAACGCAGTTTTGACACCTCCTATGTAAGGAAAATATGGACAATAAACGATCATTAAAGATCATGTTGGTGAAATGTGTTACTAATTTTACTGATTGGTAAACTGATCCAAAGTTGCTCATGTATCAAACCAATTAGCAAAAAACACTACTATAGGCTTTAAGCCTACAAATTAGAAAATGACTTTGAACAGTTGTGACAAAGAAGATAAATCATTTAAATCTTCTTGCCATTCTACAGATACAAAGGTACCTTTCTGATATAAGGTACCTTTCATCTCCAAATCAAATGCTGAGATCAACTTCTTGCATGACAGCAGAAGCTCTGCTGACCTGCTTCTCCGTGAAACTAAGGCAACAATTTAAAGCTCCTAAAAATGGTCCTAAGGCAAAATAGCCGATGAAGAAACATCTGTTTAGGGAAATGTACAAAAAATGTGTAGAAAGACATGAAGGTCTATGGTATCTGAACCAAGCCTGCTCCTCCTTTCCCCACTCCCAGGTTAGTAAAATGAACATTCCATGGCAGACTGCAGCAGCCACGAACCCGGGGCTCCCTCTTCTCCAGCTCATAGTCACAGGCCTTTCCTGCCAGCAGGAGTAGGGCATCAGCACTTCTCATCTTGACCCCAGGGACCCTGAGGCCATGAGCCAAGCCCCCATGGTTGAGAGGTGGAGAATCCTTTCTTCCATGGAACAAAGGCTGTGCCCTGGATGCTGTGTGCTGTTAATGCTGGGAGTGTGATCACTGTGGCTCTGCCATTCCACTTCAAGGTTATAAATAGTTAAAACAAAAAATACAGTCCCCCAGTACCCTCAGTAGAACTGTTACTTTACGAACCGACTTGAGTTTGCTATTTTCATCTTTCAGTTTTACAACGTGCTTGATTTTTTGCTTTAGATTTTGATGACCCAATAATTTAGCATATGAATCTCCTAGTTTATTTAGCTGCTCCTGAGCTGCACCATGTTCATTCAACAAAGCCTGTTTCTCTGCTTCAAATGCATCCAGTTGTAGCTGAAAAAGATGTTTTTAAAAATTAAAGACTTAAGATGGTTACATCTTACTCACTTCATATAAACAATAAAGAAAACTGAAGTAAAAGAAAATTAAAACAAAAAAACCCAATGGATTCAAAACCCAGATTATACTGACATATTCTCAGGATTCTATAAATTCCCTGAGACTCTTTTAAAAACCTTTTTGATTTTCATTTAAAAGACCACTAAAATCAAGGGAAAGAAACTATGAAAGAAGGCCAGCTAGGCAGCCTAGTCTGTATCAGCCATATCACCACATAACCAATGCTGTTCTTCTACTCTATTTAAGTGCCACATTTAGCATTTATCTTTTATTTTTTAAGATCAGTGTGTTAATCTAAGAAGGTCATAACAAAATAAGCATCACAAATTTACATAGATGAATTATCAAAAGCTCATATCTGAAGAGCCTTCTAAGCTATTAACTTAAGTCTCTTATTAGAAGGTATTTTTTTAGCCTAGAAAGGCTATATTAACAAATTATGCATAAGAATTTAATAGACTTTATAAGACTTCTTTAATAGGAATTTAAATTGGCACTATAGATGCACAGCAAAATGATCTTTCAGAAAAGCCAAGCCACTGTCATGACTGTGATAGGGAACAAAGTGAATTCCTAAAACAAACACAGGGAAGTTTGACAAACCTGAAAAGGTTTTGTTTTATTATATAGTTCTTCATAAAGGAGACGCCACTTATTCATTTCCTCAGTTAATTCTGCCATTGTGTTTTCTTTTCCAGATTTTCTGGAAGAGAAAACTAAGTTTAGAAAGAGTATATTAGAAAAAATAACTGAGATATGTGGCCCTCAGGTTCTAAACCTGCATTACCTTGCCTCTTCCTCTTCCAGCTGCTTCTTAAAGTCTTCCTCTTGTTGCCTGAGTTGATTCTGCAAATCAGTTACTTTTTTAAGAGAAGAAACTGTGACTTCTTTAATTTCTGCCTCTTTAAGTGCTGATTTGGACTGCAGATCTAGAAGCATCCTTGGGTTTAAGAGAGAAGAGTCCACTAAATATTTTATAGCCATTTTAACTACTTTCATTTTCTTTCCTTTACTTGTTTTTAAACTCAAGGAACTCTTCAAGAATGGCATTTTTTTTAACTGCATAAATTCTTAATTTGCCATTAAAGATCACCCGAAACAAGCCAGGAACTACAATTCCTTGCATCACTTAATAGCTGGCATTCAGCGACATTAAACTGTTTTTCTGGTTCTAAGGCCACAAGTGTGGGCAGGTTTTACTTCTCTTACATACTTTGCATATTCTTGATTTGCACTCTCAGTTGCCAATATCTGATGCTGAACATCCTCTGCACTTTTCTCAGCGTTGGCTACTTTTTCCTGAAGTGATGAGTTCTCCAGCTTAAGATCTTCTATCTCATTAGCTGTTATTGCTTTATAGCTTATTGGAAAAAAAAAATGGTTAAAGGATTTATCTAACTCCTGCATGCATGACAACTGTATAGCTGATTAATTTATATTTATACACATTTAGGTAAAACTAACAAATCTTATAACCTATTTATGCATTTATACAATTAAGAATTCAGTGTTTTAAGATCTGTGCTAATGAACTTATGTGGTATGCTGTTCATTCAAAGAAAAAAGTCAAGTGCCTACTGTGTGTAGGAAGTATGCATAAAGATGAAAAAAATCAACTACTAAACATGAAAATTACTCCAAAACAAAAGAAAATAGACAATCTCTGCACCTCCTCTCACAGAGTTTATGGTCTTGTGGGGAAGATAGGAAAATGCCCCTCTAGATCATGAAAAAAAGATGGAAAAATAGATGTATAATTAAATTTGTTAAGTGTTGCAAAGGACAACTACAGAGTGCCTTAAACTGATAGAACAGGAGACCCTACATTTTGGTTGGTTACTCAGGAATTTATAGTTAAGCTGAGACATGCTGGATAAAGAGGAGTTAGTAAGGCAGTTACCAGAAAGTATTTCAGAGAGAAAAGATGCATATGTACTCATAGACAGGTAGAACACAGCTCATTAAGAGATGAGACTGAAACATGAGTAAGAAGCTAGAGGAATGAGCTGGTCATCACTGGGGCACAATGGGTGTGTCTGAGGGATAAAGGGGAGATGGTAATGGTCTCTAAATCTGTGTGTGGAATACTCTGGACACAGATGATGAATGGATTGGGGAAGGGGCATGAATGCAGAACTGAAAGACTAACTGGAAGACAATTATTTATCAGCCCAGGTGAGTGATAAAGGCGGCCTGAATTAAGGAGTTGGCAATGGTAAGATGTGAGATCTCTTCTGGAGGCAAAATTGAAAAATTCAAGAAATAAATTGGATGTTGGGAGAAAGGAAGAGAAAATGATCAAAGTTGACTGTAAGATTTATGGAATGAGAAGATGGGAAGATGGAGATGTCATTGACTGAGATAGAAAAAGAATAAGAGACTAGAAGTAGAAAGAGATAGAAAGAAGGTCAAGGTCATTTTGGACAGGTGATCCTTAGACAATGGTGAGATAGCTAACTTGGGAGATGTTAGGCAGGCAGCTGGATAGATGGGTATGGAGCTGAAAGGAGACGTCTGGTTTGAAGAGATAAATTTTAATTTCATTAGCACACTGATGGTGAGTGAAGTCAGAACAGCTAAAAACCTCCTATGACTCTATTTTTCAAAGTAGCAAAAAGGGAAATTCCCTTTACAGGGTTGAGAACAGCACTAAAAAAATTATATATATGTATGTGTGTGTGTATGTATATATATATGTTATTATATAATTTTATTTATGTTGTGACATATAAACTATAATTAAAATACATTTACACATATACATTGTGTATGTATGATATATATGTCATAATATATCACATGTAGGAACGGATCACTGGGGATACTGGACAATTGGTTGTCTATATGGAAAAACAAAAAATAAATTTGATCCCCCTATCATTGCACATGCAGAAATCAGTTTTAGGTGGAAATATGAAAGTGAAACTTTGAAAATTTAGAAGAAAAATGGATGACTATCTTTATGTTCTTGGGGTAGAAAGAAATCTTAAATGAGATGCAAACATGTTCACATAAAAATCTATAAATTTAACCACATTAAAGTCAGGAATTTCCATTCATCAGGAAAAATCCTTTAGTAAAATGAAAAGATAAGCCATACTTTGGTAGAAGATATTTGCAACCTATATCGCTGATAAAAACTCTACAAATCAATGAGGTGAAGATAATAATCCTACACAGAAATGAACTAAAGTCACACATAAGCCTCTTACAGAAAAGGAAGGATGAATTATTCACAATAAGAAGCCATTTCAGACTTGGTACACTGGCAACATTTTAAGAAGGTTAAAAGGAAAAGAAGAGTTGTTACTCATGTCTCATTAGTGGGAATGTAGATTCTTACTCCCACTTTGTTAAGCAACTTGGCATTCAGTTTCAAAGGCAAACATTCATACATGTATGACTCTAGAGTAATTCTTACACACTTTCACTAGGAGACTGTAAGTAGATTCATATGAGTACCATTAATAGCAAAAGTAACATATAACAACCCCAAAGCCCAAAGTGAGAAAGGATTAATAAAACTGCTATGCTAGTAAAATAACATATTCTATAGCAGTTACCATGAACAAACTATAGCCTTAGTCAACAAAACAATTTAATCCTAGAAACATACATAGTGTAGAATAAAAAGACGAGTTTCAGGAAATAGCATACACTATAATGACATCTTCTGGTGAAGTTCATGAAAAAGCAACTAGATAATATATTGTTTGTATGGTTGGTTGTACATTGTAAAATTATAGACAGGAAAAAAGAACGAAAATAGTTAATGTAGGCTTTGAGATGGTGTTGTTGTTGAGGGAAGGCATGAAGATAGCATATTGGAAGAACACACACATATATACCTACATACATACATATATATTATATATACACCAAGTTTTTGAAAATCTTTTATTAATTGTCTTTTATAGGCTTATGCATGTTGATTTTACCTTTATGCTTTATAATTTATGTACATGTTGCATATCTTTTGTATTCATTAAGTATATTAAAACAGATATAAGAAAGAGACCTTCCCCCAAAATGATCTAAAGGAAATGACAAATCAAAATGTTAACAGTCATATGCTCTTGGTGAGAGATGTTTAGGTATTTGATATCTTATGTCTTGCAATTTGAACACTCCCAGCCCTAAAAATAAACTTTTCTTTTAAAAAGGGAAAATAATAAACAGATGGGATAGGAAGTAAGGAAGTGGATACAGCATATAGGGAATCTTCTGTCAAGAAGATGGACTGTAATGAGTAGAACTGAGAGATAAGAAGGGTGTCGGGAGTGAAGGGTATTGGCGGATAGCTGCAGAAGTTGTTGTGGTGGAGAGGTTATTTATAAAACTGATGTATTATAAAGGTGAAAGTACAATAGCATGTTCTTTAATACTGGAAAAATTCTAGCAGAAAGGTTGAAAATTATGAGAGACAAAGGATAAATGATAGAATGATGTCACTGAAGGCTAAAAAGACTATAGGACACTTCTGTAATAGTTGGAAGACAGGACGAGTATAAATGCAGGTGTGCTTATAGGTTTGATAATGAGGAAATAAAGTCTTCTGAATTCTTCATGAGGGAAATGATGACATCAGGAGAGGGAAACAGAATTGCCAAAGGTTTGAGAATGCATGAAATGTGAAGTGGATAGTCGGAAGGGGAAATTTCTACATACAGCAAAGCTACCAGGTAATGCTACATGTTCATAATGTTGATCATTATGGCATTTACAGTAATGCTGACCATTCTATTTGTGTGATTGTGATTATTTTTTCACAGATCTCCCAAGGTAAACACCTTCCCTGCTCATATTATATTTGAGAGTGCAGGTCCCCTCCATACCTTTCAAACCGAGCAGTAACATCTCCAAGGTTTTGCGCTGTACTATTATACTTTTCCTGCAAACGCAGGAAGGCCTGAGAGTGGGCAGCATTACTCTTCTCCAGTTCAGCCTCTTTCCTAAGAAAAAGGAACAATTCAAAGACAAAATTCTAATCACACACCATTACCCTAAAAAAGAGATTAGTATTTATCTTTGGCACTATGGATCATGCATCCCGTATCTTCATCTTTGCATAAACTACTGGATAGTTTAGATCTAAATTTAGGACCTGCCTCCAATAGCATGTTTATTTATGTACTAACTTTTTTTCTAGTTTCATCTTATCTTTCCTGCTCTTACTTTGTTTCATCCTGATGTACTTCTTTCCTTCTTTTTTTAAAAAAAATTTTTATTAAGGTATTATTGATATACACTCCTGATCTACTTATTTCTATATTTAAATTTTGTAGTTATATATATTTATGTAAGTAGTTTAAACATTTATTTGGAAGAAGCTAATGTAAAATGACTGTAACAGAATCTTATTAGCAGTAGCCAAGACTAAAGAATGAGGAGTACTAGTTAAAGAACTTGGATTGAATATAAAGTCTAATTCTCTGTATTTAAGCAATACTAAATACAGTTAAAGGCACTTCATTTTAAAAGTTCTTTTGAAAAGAGTTTATAGCACTATGTAGATTTATTTTCATTATATCAATAGCTCAAATAATAAATTGTTATTCAAAGATTCAATGATAATATTTCAAAAAATTCTGACAACTTAGTGGATTATTTTATAAAGAGAGAATAGCTTTTAAGTCATTTTTATTAATATATATTACAAACCTCAGAATTTTTTGAAATATTATCATTATATATTACCAAATTGTTCATAAAATTCTTAAGGTAAGCATATAATGAGCTGAAAGAGATCTTTTAAAAGAACATATAGAACTAAAATCTGTACATAAGCTTTATTCACTTACAGACTGTCAGACACTGAGACAAGATAAACAGAGCTGATCAAATTCATTCTGTAATAAGGATGGGATTTAAAAAATATAGACACCTCAGCTAAAAGCAATCAAATAGTATTAAAGGGTCTATAATAAAAATATTCCCTTCCCTGTCCCCTAGAGAAATCACTTTCATTTCTTAGTTTTGCTCTCATTCCTGAAATTTTGAGGCTGGAAGAAATCTTAGAGATCATCTCATAAAACCCTTTTGTATCTAATGAAAGAGAAAATTAAAGAAATTAGGATTATTTTGCTCTGCACCGAGTTCTTTGAGTTAGAATAAACCATTGTCTCAAAGTTCTTTCCTCTCTGAAACTGAAATCATCTTCAGTTTCTTAAAAGTGGCTGTTCCCAGAGATTGGCTGCATATATAGAACAATTCGCCTAATTATACTTTGGTATTGTTCCCCAAAAAGCAGGAACATATACAACCTTGGTGTTCATTTTATTACTAATCACAAGAAAACAGAAAAGGGATTATTAACAGAAATATCCCACAAGAGACAGATACAGTTGTGAGATACATTGCAATTCTGTAGGTTCATGTATAGTCAGTCCTCTGGTTCTTTGTTAAAAATATTTTAGTGATGAAATTCCCAAGGATTCAAGTAACATTAATATTTTACTTGCAATTTGAACTCAACAATTAACCTGGATATTTTAATTTAAATAAATGTAGTAGATAAGTGTGCATAATATGATGAGAATAAGATGGATCAAGAGTAAAAAAAACAAATCTGAGATCTCAGTCTTTCTGCTTTTTTGAATGTTTCCCAAATTTAGTTGTTGTTTCCCATTTTACTTTTTTGGTTGTTACTTCTGAGTGTTTGTACTCCCTCAAAAAGGTAACCAAGGTATAACTTATACTACATAAACTGGTGTACATATAGGCAAAAAATGGAAAGGTTTCTTATTAAAGGAAGGGATTCTTATTTTTTTGTTTTTTCTAAATTCATTATTGCTGTAATGCTGATGTTCAACAATTTTTAGACCACCTAAGAGTAGTAAAGGAACTCTAGACTTTGGTATTTGTTTATAACATTCTCTTTAGTTAAATCTTTGGCCTTAAAAAAAAGAAAGGCCACTGATTCTAACTTTGGCTGTCATACTTATTTGTCTGTATATCCTATGGATGCACTTTACCTCTCTGTGTTCATTCTTTACTTAGAAAATAATTTCAACTGCATCCACTTGCATGAGTCATGTGAGAATACCAAAGAAGGTATTAAAAAATACTGTTTAGTATCTGAAGTTATATGTAAACATGAGGTTTAATAATACACACCCTTTCAGCTTTTCTTTCAGGAGTTTTAGTTCTTCAGCTTGAGATTTTGTTTCCTCTTCTAACTGTTTGACCAGCCTTTCAACTTGTTCTTCCTTCTGCTGTAATTTATCTAGCTCATCCAGTGCTTGCTTTAATTCTTCCTCAAAGAGATTCTTCTCTTTAATCATTTCCTCTTGAAAAGAACATAGCTTCTGCTGAAGACTGGCAGACAGTTCCTACAGCCAAATAGAAAACCACTAAAATAATTTGAAATGGCACTGTGAACTTTTACTAAGGACAAAAAGAAGTATAAAAAATGAACATTAAATGTAAGAGCCTCAAGGAAATATGAAAAATGTAGATATAACTTTCAGTTTGTCATATTCTACACCTTGCTAACATGTAGTAAATGTTAGTTCAGTGTTTTATCTATGTAACACACATTTCTCGTAAAACTAAATTCCTATTTTAAGTGACTTTTAAGATATATTTTTTTCATATGATAGTATATAAAAAGTATACTATGATTTCAGTATTACATAAATACATTTTAAAGTACAGAAAACACAACTTACCATTGCAAAAAAAATTCTAACATTACAACTAAAGTGAAGACACAAATGAATGAAAAGATATTTTATGCTCATGGAATGGAAGAAATAATATTGTTAAAATGTCCATTCTAGCCAAAGCAATCTACAGATTCCATGCATCCTATTAAAATTTCATCGGGATTTTTCAAAGAAATAGAACAATCATAAAATCTGTATGGAATTACAAAAGACTCTGAATAGCCAATGCAATCTTGAGAAAGAACAACAAAGCTGGAGGCATCATGCTTCCTGATTTTAAACTATATTACAAAGCTATAGTAATCAAAACAGTATGGTATTGGCATAAAACTAGACACATAGATTCGTGAACAGAATAGAGGGCTTGTAAATAAGCCCACATATATATATGGTCAACTAATTTATGACAAAGGAGCCAAGAATATACAATGGAGAAAGGACAGTCTCTTTAATAAATGATATTGATAAACTGAACAGCCTCATACAAAAGAGTGAAACTGGACCACTCTCTTACACCATACACAAAAATTAATTTGAAATGCATTAAATACTTGAATGTAAGACCTGAAACCATAAAACTCCTAGAAGAAAATATAGGCATTTAGATCCTTGACATTGTTCTTGGCAATTATTTTTGGATGTGACTCCAAAAGCAAAGGCAACAAAAGGAAAAATAAACAAGTGGGGTGACATCAAACTACAGAGCTTCTGAACAGCAAGGAAACCATTAACAAAATGAAAAGGCAACCTACTGAATAGGAGAAAATACTTGCAAATCATATATCTGCTAAGGGGCTAATATCCAAAATATATAAAGAACTCACACAACTTCATAGGAAAAAAACAATCTGATTAAAAAGTAGGCAGCTAAACAGACATTTTTCCCAAAGAAGACATACCGATGCCAACAGGTACATGAAAAGATGCTCAACATCACTAATCATCAGGGAAGTACCAATATCACCTCAGACCTGTTAGAATGGCTATTATCAAAAAGACAAGCAATAACAAGTGTTGGCCAGGATGTGGAGAAAGGGGAGCCCTCATACACTGTTGGTCGGAATGTAAATTAGTACAGTCATTATAGAAAACAGTATGGAGGGCCCTCAAAAGATTGAAATATAACTACCATATGATCCAAGAATTCCACTTCTAGGCATTTGAAGCATATGAAAAACATGAGCTTGAAAAGATATATGCATCCCTGTGTTCACTGCAGTATTATTTACAATAGCCAAGATATGGAAACAACCCAAGTGTCCATTGATAGATGAACTGATAAAAAAATGTGGTACATGTTCACAATGGAATATTATTTAGACATACAAAATAAGGAGATCTTATCATTTGTGGCAACATAGATGGACTTTGAGGGCATTATGTTAAGTGAAATCAGACAGTGAAAGACAAATACTGTATGATCTTATATGTGGGATCTAAAAACTAAAACCAAACCAAACCAAAACAAGCAACTCATAGACAAAGAACACACTGGTGGTTGCCAGAGGGAGTGGAATATGAGAAAAATGGGTGAAGGCAATCAAAAAGTACAAATTCTCAGTTACAAAATATTTAAATCAGAGGGATGTAATGTACAGCATGCTAACTATAGTTAACAATATTGTATTTGCATATTTGAAAGTTGGTAAGAAAGTAGATCTTAAAGTTTTCATCACAAGAAAAAAAATCTCTGTTCATAGTGATAGATGTTAACAGACTTACTGTGGTAATCATTTTGAAACATAAACACTGAATCATTACACTGTACATCTGAAATTAATATAATGTATTCAATTACACCTCAAAAAAACCCCTAAGAAACAAACAACAAAATACTGGTGTAGACATGCCAAGAGTGCTCTAATGAAAGAAAAGGTTGGCGTAAACTTGGCATTCTCTCCATCCTTTACATTCTTAGAAATGCATTTAGGAGACATATCTCTTAGGTACTGAGATACAAAGAAACATTTGACAGGTTTGCTAATAATAACTGCAGGTGTGGAATTGGATGGCAGGAAAAATAATAAACACATACAAATTTAATGAAATTGTCTTTGACTACCCCCGACCCCAATCTTAGTTTTCCCATTCCCAAGCACTAGTTGTGTATATGTGCTTTTTGGTCTTTTTCTATATATTTATATACATAAAATATGTAAATGATACATGTATGTAGTTGTTGAGATATTTTCAAGTTATAGATACATAGATGTGCTGAATTCCTCTGGTTGTTGCACGTTGCCCAACAATGTATTTCACATCAGTACAGCTGGGTATCTGTTTGCTCCCATTTGTGCTTTCATTTGTGCCAATCATGTAAGTGAAAAAAAAATTACTTTCCTTTCTTTCACTACTAAGGTAGAGCAACTCTTCATGTTTACAGGCTATCTGAATTTCTACTTCTAAAGAGATCTATCTCTGTCCTATGCTCTTTTTTTTTAGTGGCCCATCTTTTTTTTCATTGATATATAAAATGTTTTTTATTTAATCTGGGGCTTAAAAAAATGCCAGTTTTGCTTCCCGTGTAATTAGTCACTGATTCACAATATAACTGTAAATGTTTATGTAGTAGCCTGACATAAGAATGTACCAGAAAAAAAAGTTAAACAATTTCCTTATTTTGTTTCATCTGTTGCTTATAATTTTTTCACATTATCAATAACCTTGCAGTGAACATCTTTGTTGCTAACTATGCATCATAGATAGGATTATTTCCTGAATACGTTTCTAAAAAATAGAATTGTTGGCTCAAAGGATATATATGGTTTAAAGGTTTTCTGATACACAGGGAATGGATGACATAAGCACCAGTTTCTTTTTTTTTTTAAATATTGTAGTAAACTACCTTCTCTTGTTGCAGAAGTGAATCAATTTGCAACTCTTTTTGTTGTAGTTTTTCACGTTCTTGTTTTTCAAGAATAATCTTCTCCTTTAAGTTTTGCATTTCAGAATTTAGACTGTCATCCTTTTCCCTATCCTTGTTGACAAGGTCTTCTATGAAAGGGAAGCAATTGAAACATTGCAATTAGCTACTAATAGTAACTTTGAGAAACCCAAATTTCCATAATATTCTATTTTACTGCTTTTAACAGTGTTACACAGATCAAGTGAAAATAAAGCCAAAACACAACTCTGAAGTTTGTATCACTATATACAATACAATGTATATCGTATGTTACATGGAAAGCCCGAGCCTAGTTCTTTGCCGCTGTCAACTGCCAGTGGCCACCCAGTGGTGAAGCCAAGAATTGCACAACTGAATATATTTCAGCCAAGACAATATATTGAAATAAAAAGAGAACATTATGAAAGACAAAAATTCTTATATACAGAACAAAGTTTTTATGTTTTTACATAATTATTTAAAAAATTTTTTTTGCACAGCAGTACTTGTCTTAAATACTGTATGCATCACTCATCTAAAGAAAGTAATATTGTAAACACTACCATTTTCCTTTTCAAGCAGCTGACATTTAGCATTCAGATCCTCCACTTGTTTAGAAAATAAAGCAATATTTTCCTCAAGAGCTTGCTGAAGGCTTAAAACTTCATGATTCTTCTCTTTCATATTTTCTTCCAATTGAGAAATATCCAGTTTGTATTTTTCCACTTGATCTGATGCACAACTGCATTAAAAAAAAATTATTTCGATGAGCACATCTATTTAGGCACAGGGAAAATTAACCAAAAGACAATAAAAATGATGCATTCACCACTATTCAACAAAATAAGGTCCAATTTAAACTATTATTCATATTACCTAATTTCTTCGATGTATTCTAGGAGCTTTTCTGTTTCAGATTTTTCACCAATTTTTTCTTTCTCTAGGCAAAAACTAAAAAAAAAAAGCACATATTAATGCATACGATAATCACATGCAACCTTATTCTGTTCCAGATAATGTTGTATCAGACAGGATGTCCTCAGAGCCCAAACTCTGAACCATTATTTTATGTGACCTCTCAACATAATTTGATATATGTACATCAATTTAATATATGCAAATAAAGAGTCGAGTTTTTTTTTAAGTGAGTGAGCTTTCCAAATATAGCCTGATAAGAGGGCTATGATGACAAGAATCATCATCTATAAAACTCCAAGTTTTAGAAATGATCTTTTTGTAGCTTTCCTGGTTATCCAACCCATCACACAGGCAAAGTAGCATTTTGTGTGCCATAAAGCCTTTGTTCTCAGTTGCCTTATAGTCAATTACTCACACATTTACGTCCTCTAAACAACTCAGTTTACAAAATGGGCAAGAGACTTAGACTCTTGCTGAAAGGATATACGTGAATGGTCAATAAGCACATAAAAAGAAACTTAACATTTATAGTAACAAATTAAAATCACAAATAAGATACTAGTTTATACATACTAAGGAGGCCACAATCAAATAGATCTACAACATCAAGTTCTGTGAGGATGAAGAACGAATTTAACTATCATACACTGCTAAGTGCGAGTGTAAAAGGGTAAGACCGCTTTTTGGGTTCTTTAAAATATTTTACACTACCCTAAGACCCATGAATTTCACTGCTAGATATTTACACAAGAGAAATAAAAATATGTCCACAAAAAGAATTACAGAACAGTCTTATTCATAGTACTCAGACACTGGAAACCCAAATACTGATTAGAAGGAGAACAGTAAACAAATGGAGGGATATCCATATAGTGGAATGCTACTCAGAAATAAAAAGGAACAAATTGTAATACAACAATGTGGCTGAATCTCAAAAAATTTTTTGAACAAAAAAACCCTCCTTCCCCAACATATACTGTGCCAAATGTTCTAAAAATGGCCAAAATAATTTATAGTTATGGAAGTCAGAAAGTTGTGAGGTGGTGGGGCATTACAGGTAGAAGAGCAGGGGAGCAGGAAGGGGCACCAAGGAATTTCTGAGGGGATGGCATTGTTCGTTATGTTGTTGAATGGGGATTACAAAGGTGTATACAATTTTTAAAGTCATCACACTGACTATTTATGATCCGTGTATTCTGTTGTATGTATATTACAGCTCAGTAATAAAAAGAAGGCCAAGATTGTGCATTAATCACAGCTTCCAATACCTGTTTCTCAACTTTGGCCTACCCCTCCATAAGATAATGCCATTAGAGAGTTCATGCTATTAGAAAGATAGCGAGACCTTTCCTTATCAGTGACACAGAAAATGTACATTCATACATATTTTCAGCATAAAATATTTGGGGATGATTAGGGCTTAGCTGTTACTTAGGAAGAGAAACAGGGCAAGTAGTGGGAGGCAAGGAGGAAAGGACTGAGGGAGGGTTAAGGCCTCAGTACACAACAATGACGTGAGAGACGTAAGTCAAGCATCAGTGAAATTTGATTTCTCTTTCCTTTTAGTCACTCACAGTTTCCCCTCAAGTTGTGCTATTTTCCCCTGAGACTCTTCAAGATTCTTCTGGGTGACCTGGAGCTTTGCCTCCATGCTGTCTTCTTTAGCCATCATACTCTATACGACAGAAATATGCTTTAGGAAATGAGAAATTGTTCATATCTCCAGATCCAGACACAGCAAACTTACCAAAGGTATCACTCACCCTCATCTTTGTTTCTCTTTTGTTTCTAAGTTTCATCAATTCCAGGCTTAGAATTCTCATATTCTTATGGTTACTATCTTCATAAAACTAAGTACAACAAACACATACAAAATTCAGAAATCTTTTCTACTAAGTCCTATAGAAACTCACTTAGACATTGATTATTGTATCTATTATTGGAATTATTATTTGCCTTGACCAACACTGATTTTACTCTACTGCTGTTCTTGTCTCTACTTTTCCTCAATGAGACGTTTTGGTTTATTTTTTAAAGTAACTTGGGTGGCCACTTACCTTAACATTCTGCAAAGTCCATTGCGAGTCTCTATATAACAAGCTTCTGGAAAAGGATTTCATAAAATATGTTTGCTTAACAAAATGCATCTGAATTTCCTCATCAACTTTGAAATACGTAGACAAAAGGGTCCATCTCAGGCCTCCTAAATCAGAATCTCCCTGAGGTGGGCCCTGGAATCTGCTCCCTTCTGTTTGCTTAATTCTTGTGCACCCTCACTCCCTTTATAAGCAAAGAGCCCAGCACATTACAGGCCCTGAATAAACGACTCTTACTACTTAAACAGTGATTTACAGCCTCTTTCCGCTTTTATAAAAAGCAGGACAACCATGTTAAGTCTTTTAAGATCTATTAGTATATAAATACTGACAAACACAATTTATCTATTGAACACATTTAGTTCAAAAATGTATTCATTTTCTACTTCACTCCTAAAAGGATTTGAGGTGGATGCCTACTATTATGCTATTATTTACTTCAGAGAAAGATCTTTAAAACAGCTTGTAGATGTAAATTCTGCAACTTTTATTAATGGCCTTATTTACTGGTGGTAGCTTTGAAAGAGGGTGAGAAAATGCCAGACATTAAAACAGAAATTAACTTGTTTGCTTATAACCTCTTACATGCCAAGCAACATAATAAAAAAGACGTAATAATTCCTACTGGAAGCAGTTTAATATTTAAGTGAGGGAAAAGGACTAAATGAGAGCCTAAAATTACTGACAACTATAAGAAAAAAAAAAGTTCATTATTTATTCAATTGTAAATATTATCATGGGGGTCCGATACCTTAGATTTTAGCAGCTCATTGGTTCTGGTTAATTCAATAAGCTGTTTTTCCAGTGAAGCATTAGTTGCAGAGAGAGATGTTTTTTCCCTGACTGCAGCATTTAGCTTTGCTTCCATCTTCTCCAACTCAGCTTCCTGTTCCTGGATCTGCTTGATCTGAGCACCACGATCCTGCACAAGAACACGAATCTGGATGGAAACAAGGGATAAAGGAATGATTCATGGATACAATGTCAAAGTAACTAGATGCTACTGATAATTAAAACATTAAAGTTGATCTGAATGTGACACGATGCTCTTAGATATTCTAATTTCAGCTGTTTGAACATATGATAATCTTAAAAATCTGCAAGCATTTTAAGAATAGAGAATTTTAGTTACATTTCCAGGTGTAATTAAACTGTTTGTTCATTTTTAAAGTATTCCTACATTTAACCGTTCTTCTTTTCTCTAGTTCTAATTATATGAATTCAAATTATAGTTTGAAGTGCTAAAAATCTTTTTGATTTCAAGAAGGCAGAACTGGATTTCTGGGTAGAATGCCTTTTAGCACTAGTTGGAATGATCAGCAAGTCATTGTTCACGTTGCAATTACTAGATGAAAACCAAAACCAAAATCAAAACCACATATTTGTTACCAGAAAATGTGGAAGCCAGAAGGCAGTGAAATGGAACATTTAAAATATAGGGGAAAAAAGGAACACTGAAATGATCTGTATTACACTTCTTGCAGTTAAAGAAGCTTAAGCTCCAAAATAGGGTTTGTAAACTCTAATGCTCACAAGGCCAAGCAGATAACATAATGTAAAGAGAGCCAGGTGAGGACTGAAGAGCAAATGTGGGGTCACAAGGAGGCAGTCCTGCATAGCCCTAGCATATCATTGCCCTGGAGGGGGATGTGGAAACAGTGCTGTCAGATCTTCTGATTTTGCAACATAAGTCAGAAATCTTAATTTGTTGTGCATGAAATTTTACTTTTAAATATTGACAGTTAGTTCAAATTAAGTAAACAACAAACACCATAGGGCTTAAATAAAATAGAACTCTTATTTGTCAAACATCTTTATTCTAAAAGATTAACTGGCACAAACGACCAGTTCTAATGGTGGCCCTGCTGCTAGCTTATCAGCTATTTCAGTGAGACTCATTTATTGCAACTCTTAAGTATTAATCCCCATCTCATAGGCATGTATCCTCAATAAAATGAAAGCTATTATTAAAATAAATACAAAAAAGGTCACACCAACAGGGCACAGATATATAAACCCATCTTGACATATTTTTGGTCCTAGGCCAATATTTAACTGTAATCAGTGGGAAGTTTTGATGTCAAAACATTATGTCCACTAGATAAACAACTGGTCAGCTATGGAAACACGGAAAAAGAACAGCAGAGCTGCTAGTGACCAGCTGAGGCCTGCTTGGGGAAGCAAGTGGGTTCTTTAGTCATCTTTGCTCAGTAGAGATTTCTGCCATGGTGGAAATGCACTGCCCACTATGGTAGCAACTCACCACAACTGCCTGATGTGATGAATTACATTGCCACTTGAATTACAAGCCACTTGAAATGTGATAAATGCAGCTGAATAACTAAGTTCTTAATTTCATTTAATTTAAATAGTCACATGCGGTGAGTGGCTAACATATTGGAGAGCACAGCTCGAGGTCATTTTATCCTTGAGGAAGGCATGCATGTACAGTGCAGAGCAGGTTGCATAACTCTGTCATGATTCAATGAACCTGCTAGGATTTCACAGTCACCAAGCATCTCTAGCTAGTCACTGTCTTAACATACAGATGAGCACACAGGAAGAGTACACTCTATGAGTAAATGTAAATATTTGTACCACACTGACAACCAGATTCTGAAATATAGCATACAAGCCAAGGAACCGTAATCCTGTAGGCACTGGTGCGGGTGGCACATTTGCCTTGCTATACAACTCCCCAAACTGCAAGAGAATCCTTGTCTTTTAGCTGTTATGTAATTCTTGCTATTATACAGCACATTTATTTTTCAGTCAATTGACAGCATTGCTTACCTCTTTTTCCAGTGTCTTTAAATCTTTATCATTCTTTTGAGATGCCTTCTATTTAAAAGCCAAAGAACAGTGATCAATAAATTTAAGTGCTGCAAATATTACAGCCAAATTAAGCACATTTATTTTTCAGTCAATTGACAGCATTGCTTACCTCTTTTTCCAGTGTCTTTAAATCTTTATCATTCTTTTGAGATGCCTTCTATTTAAAAGCCAAAGAACAGTGATCAATAAATTTAAGTGCTGCAAATATTACAGCCAAATTTGATTTTTAGTTATCAGAAAAGATAAAGGATTCCAAACAGTTAATTTCTATTTTAAAAATTTCACTGAATCTATTAAACATTTTGTAGGTTACTTAGTTGGTAAAAGAAGGAAAAGTTTCTTTAAATCTCAAAATATTGTAGGTTTAAAAGTTTTCACAGATTAGGCTTTTTCTAACAAGTCCAGTAAAAAGAACAAGTAGAGCTTTATGAATAAGCTACTGACTGCCTCCTTTATAACATTAAACAGCAATACATTTTAAATAATTATGCTATTTCAAAAAGAAAAGAATCTTACAGAGAAATCACTTAAAACTTTGATACCTACAGAGAAAAAAAATAGATACAAAGAAATAAGGAAAAACTAAAATAGTATAATCTCTTGATTTTAATCTATTCATTGCCTTTATTCTAAATAAGACATAATTTTCACACTACATCATTCTATATCTAACAGTCTTTCTGACACAATGGTCAAAAACAGAATAATCTTTTCCATTAAAAATAGAAAATGCATAAACATCTTGAATGAAATCAGTTTTATAGGCTTCTAAGTTGGGGGGTAGGGTGGCATATCAGTCTCATATTTATTAATTTCCTACCTGATGGCTTTTTCTATTGAGGAAAACCTATTATTGTGGGGTTTCACATAAACTTGTATATAATTTAATTTTCTAAGAGGGTTTGTTAATTCTACAATTAGTTCAAAATTTCAAAACTGTTTCTCCAAGAAATTCAAGTCAAGATATTTACTTCAATTTCTAAGAAAACAGTGTCTATATTAGTGCTGCCCAATAAAAATGTAATGCAAGGCATATGTTTATTTTAACATTTTCTAGTATCCACATTTAAAAAGTAAAAATTTTAATAATATATTTTATTTTACCCAAAATATCAAAAGCTTTATTTCAACATCGTTAGTATAAAAATAATTAATGAGATATTTTATATTTTTGTATCAGGTCTTCAAAATTTGCTGTGTATTTTATATGTATAGCACATTTCAATTTGGATGCTAAATTTTCATCAGAAATGTCTTTTTATATTTAGATTTCATAAAATGTACAGATTAAAATGTAGATTCACCATACCCAAGTTTTTCCAAAAACATCTAAGTTTTCCAATAACAGAAATGAGTACTGCTTTTTAAATATACATTAAATAATATTAGTATGTGGGTACTCACTTCCATATTGGACAATGCAGCTCTACATTATAGTACAAGAGACAGAGCTAACTGCAAATGAACAAATAAGTTTAAGCTTAACCTATAGCATTGGTTTCTCAACTCTGAATCTTATTTATATTTAAATATCAATTTGCATAACTCCTTAAGAAAGTTCAACTTGCCTTATGAACTAATGGAAGCAGTAATGTGGGTGCTTCACGATCCGTAACATGAAGTCATTGAGAATTTAATATCCCACCACTCCTTGGCAGTTTTTAGTAGCAAATCTCTTTTAACAATTAGAATGCATTTTTTCCTTTTTCTTCACTAATGCTTACTTTTCCCCATAAACAAATAATCAAACAAATAAAACCATAATAACTCAAATGGTAACTATCAAAGCATCCCATAATTTTTAAAGGCTTACTAGGTTATTAGAAAATTCATCTATATATAGAAATAACTAAGAGACCACTTTGTAATTCTGAACTAACACATTTAAACACAATTTTAGCAATGATGTAGGCAGAAACGTTAAACTTGCTAGAGTCCTGATGACAATGTTTTATTAATTTACATATAATCTTAATACACTTAGCCCATTCTAATATAATACAATATTTTCCGGAAATGTTTTCATGATACAGTTGATAAATCAGCTAGAATGTAAGAGCTCCTCACCTTTAATCCCGAAGTCTTAAATTTTCTTGCTAAGGCAGGCAAGGTAGTATCTTTGTCAACATTAAGATTCTGTTGTGATTCTGTAATAAAATGAATTGTTCAGATCATGATTGGTGCTTAGATGTTTGCACTACAGACAAAACACAATTTCCAAATTTTTTATTGCAACTACTAGTGAAGCAATATATTCTTTTCTTAGTTGTCATTCTCAAATAATTGCATAATAATTTTTTACATATGCAACACTTTTCTGATTTCCCTATTACTCCTTGACAGAGGGTTAAAGTAATTACCAAAAGAGAAACTACCTATCTATTTGACTGTCTTGTTTACTTTTCCTGGTTATACAATAGTGTAATGATGAAAGCATTGTTCTGTAGGTAACCCTTTTGTAAATTCATCAATAAAATTTAAATAGAGCTGTAGTTTCACATTTTTAGAAATACTATAGCATCTTTAAATACACTGTTCATAACTTTAAAACTTATGAGATCATACAACCATTATTTTATTTTGGGATCCATTACCTTTCTGTTTTTTAAATCTTTGTGATTTCTGAAAGGATACTGGTCCTCTCAATACATCTGAAGTTTTAACATCATAAGCACCTGGAGATGGGGCACAACCTAGAGGAAATGTAAAACATTAAATATCATCTAATGTTACTCATGTTACATGTCATAGTAGATTGAGTAATATAAATCTAAAAATGCCATTATAAAAGTGCTTCCTTGTTTTTTCAAATGTAAAAATAGCAACACATTTGATCTTATAAAGTAGGTCTCTTTTTGAAGAACTGTATCATTATCTTCCCAAAAGCCCTTTATTTTAATTGGTCAAGGAATACAGTCCATTGAGCAAAACAGCAAAGACAGTCTTGGGATGAATGTCAAGAACAAGCAATGTGGCATTGTTATTAAGGATTGACTTAAAAAAAGAGGATTGAATATAAGAAGTGAAACATTTGGAATCTCTCTAAAGAGAATCACTGAAGTAACTACCATCAGATTCTAGAAATGAAGCAATGAAAAATGCCAAACCGTCAAAATTTAGCCTGTAATAAAAGTTTATAGTGATAATCCATCTCTACCTAATATCAATACAGCAGGAAATTGATATAGTTATATTATGCAAAGTAAAAACTGTACTAGACTATATTTCTGTGTGCCAGAAATTTATACTCTATAAACTTACATAACTGGAATCCCAAGTTGAAGGCATTTCAGGGTGTTAGGCAGGGCCAACTTGAGATCTAGTCTGGCTCTTAGGATTTACAATAATAAAAATGTCATTAGCATTAAGCTTTAGCTGATTGGGCATCAAGATTCACACCACTCTCTGGAAAGCTGTTTACTTCAGTCTAGTTTCATGCAAGTAAACAGAAACAGCAAGGAGTTTGACCATTCCACGGTGACTCCTGCTGCCCCGTGAATGTTTTTCAAATGGAACGATACTCATTGGTATATTTGATAAACATTAAAGAAAAAAAGTGAAACGCAAGAGAATGTACCAGTGTGACTTACATGTAGCAAAGTTAAGCATTATTTTGAGGGACTTTTGTTTCAGTTGTATGTGTAGAAATATAAAAATATACACCAAGATAGATTTACAATTTTTTGTCACCCTGGGAGACAATTAAAAAGTATTAAATTCATTGCTTTCATCAATTCTAAGCAGGCCACAGAAACATCAAAGATGTGATTAAGTTCCCATACCTGTAGGAGCAATGATCATTTATATGTACTCATACAAAGATTCCAATTCTGGGAGCTTTCAGATCTAAATGTGGTCAATGAGGTGGTACAGGTAGTGAATTTCCAATCAGGAGAGAGTCTCAAAATGAAGTATAGAGTTCACTGAGGCATCTAAAGAGTGACTTAGCAAAAGACATCACTCTTAGCTAGCTCACATTTCTCATGTCTCACAAACTTCTCACTCTGGGGTATGAATAGTAGGGTACAGGGTTTCCCTAAAATCAGGTTAAACTGGCACATTCTTAGAACACCTATTTTATTCATTTGGACAGGGGTAGAGGAGACAGTGGGGAACATATTATATTTTAAAGCAAACAGACTTCAAAGAAAACCGCCACTACTACTGTTACCTATGCCTTTTAGGGGAGGTGGGGGTGAGGGGATGCAGAGCCTATGGTTGTTCCTTCGCTCTTCGGCATGTGAAAAGCACTGCTCTAGACTTGGCAGAGCAGTCAGAGATAAAATGATGTTGAATTCTAGTCCATCATTAGGTCTACACTCTCAGAAAGGAATAAGGGACAGCAAAAGATGGAGTAGTGGACAGCGACCACCAGCATCATACAAGTTGAGAACAATTAAAACCATACTTAACAAAAACTCTCCCCTCAAGGCTAAAGAGTGAAATTCGATAGTTACAGGGATTCAGATTCAAGGGGAACTACGTTGAAATCCAGTCTGTATACCTACCAACTCTTCATTTTGAGACTGTGGCACATGCCATTTGCATGCTGTAGGTTTTTTCTTTACTAATGTTTAAATTACTACATTATCAATATAACTTGTCAGAAATCTAGGGAGAGGGAACATCAGACAAAAGAGATGGGATATCTTGGGAGATATCACAAACTTTGTTGGACAACTTATATCTTGACCAACAACGACTGGAAGCTAATAGGCAGTCAATACTTGTATGCAAACAAAACATTTTAAGCATTACATTAAGTAAGTGCTTAACTCCACACCTCTTTATTTTCTACTTCTTCCACCTAGAATGGACAGCCTACCTTCCATTTTGCCTCACTTACCCATCACATTGCAGCCTGGATGATGGCACTTCAGTTTTCTTTTAATCTCTAATGAGGTTAGAAACCTCCCTCCATAGCAGCGTGTACATTTTGTTCCTATCATAGAACTCAGTTTTGTAATGGCTTATAATAATGTACTATGCATCTCCCACAATAAATAAAACTGCTTTAAATTAGGGATTGTCACAATCATGTCTGTATTGGTAGTACAGTTTAGGGTTGAGTTTGGGAGCATGGTGGAAGAAACATGGGAAGTTGTTGGGGATATGGGATGGGAACAGCTTTGTAATCAGCTAGATCAGAATTAACATCCAGCTTTGTCATCCCATCAATAGATGTTAATATGTGCCAGGTTCTTTGTAGTCATAGGGAGAAGATGGTGAATAAGAACATTATGCTCTTTATTTTTCCAGGCTAGCTTTAAGCCCTTGGAATGTTATTTCTATTTGGGGCTGACTCTTCATTCATGAGACAGGAACAAACAAATAATATCTACCTCATTGCATATGGTTGCTAGGATTACTGGAGTAATATAATAAATCAGTACAGTGTCTCACACATTAAGCATCAAATAAATGTTATTACTCCTGAAACTGTAGCCTTAGTTAAAGACAGTTTAACCTTACCATAAAGAAAAAAAAAATTCTCCTTAAAAGACACACTGCTGAAACTGAAGGAACAAAATAGCAGCAGACTCACAGACTCCAAGAAGGTACTAGTGGTTACCAAAGGGGAGGTGTCGCAGAGGGTGGGTGTGGAGGGAGAAGGGGATTAAGGGGCACTATAACTCACAATCACAATATAGGTAGGTCACGGGGATGGCAGTACAGCACAGAGAAGACAAGTAATGACTCGATAGCATTTTACTACACTGATGGACCATGACTTCAATGGCAAGGGGTGGTGGTGGTGAGGTGGAGTGAGGACTTGATAACATGGATGAATATTGAAACCAGTGTTGTTCATGTGAAACCATCATAAGATTGTATATCAATGATACCATAATACAAAAAAGTCACACAGCTGACAGAAGAGTAGGTTCTTTGAATGTCCAGGAAATAACATGATTATTGAGTCTTAATTAAGAAAATACGGTGTGCTGATCCACTTGCTCACTTGGCTTTCCTTTGTGAGCAGACTAATACTCATTTGCACTTGCATGTTGGCTGATAGAACTTAAATATGTAACAAGTGACTGTTAAAAAGTGTGTATTATAATGGATAAATCATGGCCTTTGATGTTCAACTCTACTACTTACTGGCTGCTCAGTACAGTTACTAAACCCCTCAGTTTCATTATCTGTAAAAGGAAGGCAATTATCAATATTTTCCTCACCTGACTGTTGTAAAGAATAAACCAGATCTACTAGGGAAGACCAGTCCCTGCATACAGTTCGTATCTACAAAGTGATGAGTCCCTTACCATCCATATTCAAGGCTTCCTGGTTATTGTGCTTATGCACTGCAGTGGTCAAGAGCACAGGATGGATTAATGGAGGCCAGGTTTCATGCCCCAGTTCTGCCAATTTGGTTGTGTAACATGAAGCAAATCTAAGTCTCAGTCTTTTAATCAATAAAATAAAGAATAATAAAATCACCTCTCAGGAATCTGGGGGGATTAAAAAAGAACTAATAATGGATGAAAAGTCCTACTATGGTGCCTGGGGTACTGTCAGTATTAGCTGCCATTACTTCATTTATAGGGTTTCCGGTAATTTACACCCCTAAAGTGCTTTTACCAATCCTCTATTATGCCCTTGTGGAATATTCAACAGAAACCGACAAGTTCAAACGAAAATCAGTGGTCAAATCCTCTTTATGCGTGAGGCCTTCTGGACGAGACCATCATAGTTACCAATGTGTCCTCATTCCCCACTCCCTTCCCTCTACTTCCTCCACAGCACAGGGCCTTACTTCGCTCACTGTTGTAATCTTAGCATCCTGAATAGCTCGTGGCATGTAATAAATGCTTAAAATATATTTCAGAAAATGAATCAACTGAATGAGCCCCATCCCAGCCCTAAAATCGCCTATTTGCCTCTAATGAAGGGAACCAAGAGGGGCAAGGGGCCTGAGCATACCCCGTCCCCCAGCTTCTTTCCCCGTACGCACCGGAAGGGTCATTGAATCGTTTCAGGGGCGCCTTCGGAAAGGACATACTGACAAGCAGCTCCACAGACCGAAGTTTATTAGCGCTCCTCGGTTGCTTCCTGCTGTTGATCAAGGTCTACTCGCTTCAAATTCAAATCTCCCCGCTAATTACTTCCCACCGCTACCTCAGCCAATTGGAAAACCAAAACCCTGGGCACACCAATCCAGGCAGGGAACATCCAGAGAACATGCGCACTTGGCTCTCGCCGCATCCAATTAGGCGGCCTGTGTAAGCTACCAGCCAATAGGAGACTATTACTGCACCTAAGTCCAATCACACCTGCTGTTACTCAATTGTAACCTACGCACTTGCAGCATTTGCGCAAGCGTACTACTTGTCTGAGAAGTTAGAAGGTTCGCGTTTGGTGTCAAACAGGTAACAGTGCAGTAAGTTCCAGCTTCACTGGTTCCGACCCTCTTCCACCGTTCCTTGGATGTAAACGTTTCTGTATTTCATTTCTTTCAAACTGGGTCCTGCCAGTGTCCTAAACGGCCGTTGAAAGGGAAAAACGAACACAGGCTGGCATACACTTATATCCCTGCGCATGTGCAGTGATCCAGTTCGGAGGCCGGGGCGTGGCCTGAATTGTGGGGGTTCCGCGCATGCGCTCATTTTGCTCCGTGCGGCGGTGGCGGCGGCGGCAGCGTCGGCGGTCCGGAGGCGGCTCAAGTATGTCGGCCCCGTTTGAAGAGCGCAGTGGTGTGGTTCCGTGCGGGACTCCGTGGGGCCAGTGGTACCAGACCTTGGAGGAGGTGTTTATTGAAGTTCAGGTGCCGCCAGGCACTCGCGCCAAGGATATCCAGTGTGGCTTGCAGAGCCGGCATGTGGCGCTGGCAGTGGGTGGCCGCGAGATCCTCAAGGTAGCGGCAGGTCGGGGCTTGTGCTTATTTTCTTCCCTGCCTCTCTAAACCCCCAAGGCCCTAAGGCTCATCTTTAAAGGCATTTACGGCTTCTTTGGCTGACCGAAGGAGCGATAACACTGGCCTGGTTTTGGTCTGGTCGGAGTTCGCACCCTCACGGCCAGCGCTGAGTTGACGTGGAAATTTGAGGAGCCCATCCTTCTGGCTGTATTTCTAAACCAAATGAAGCTGCTTCTTTTGTTCCTCTGCGTGTCTTCGGCCCAGAACGACTTCATTAGACCGTTAAAAGAACACACATCTGTCGTACATAAACTTTTTTTCCAGCCACTGAGTCAGGCACTAGGTGCCGGGAGGACAGCGGTGTACAAGACAGATGGGATTCTTGCACTCACAGAGGTTATCTTTTCAAGGGAGCAGTGATAACACTGAATTAATATTTAGACAGTTACAGAAAAATAAAGAATAAGGATATAGGGATGAGTCAAATGATGTCGGTGGTATATTTTCTCATCTAAAATTAGAAAAAATTCTGCATGTTTGTGGAGTGCTTAAGCAGGTGGTCAAGAGGTGTTGTGAAGACAAGAAATACCCCCTTCATTCTCACTGGTGGACTTTGATCTCGAGCCTTCTTTTCCTTGTTAAGCTTTATAGTTCAGTTGAAATTAAATTTCTCAAATTAGATGCCAAGATGTTTGATGGCACTGTACGGGTAGAGATGAATGAAGACTCCTTGGTAGAATACCTGGCTTTGCCATTTTTCTAGTTTTGTAACTTTGGGCAAGAGATTTATTCAGTGTCTCCAAGCCTTCATCCACGAAGTCCGGTAATTTTAATACCTTTCTCATAGGATTATTTTGAGTATCATGGTATCCATGTGAAAAGAGTTTGGAGTAGTTACTGGCATGAAATAAGCACACACATGTTAGTTATTATATGAAAGTGCATTGATTTTCGTCAACTTTGATCTTGATTTTTTCCAAATGGTTGTGCATTTCATGGTTTCCTGATTAGTGTTTTAGGATTGCAATTCAAATTTAATAATTCCAGTGACTTTGAGAATTTTGCAATAACTCTAACTCTAGGATTTCAGATATACATTTAGAACAGTAGGATTTTTTTCCTCTAATATTGATATATGAAAAAGTGTATTTTTTTCTTGTGACGTTTAAATTTCATTTCCTAAAACTTAAAATTTGGCAAATAGCAACAAATCAAGTGGATTTGAGCAGTCATTCTCTTTTATATTTGCTTATTTCAAGAGTTTCTGAAAAATCATTTACAGCCAGACTGACATCAGATCTATAGTTGAGTGCTCTAAAAATGTTTTAATGCCAAATTGCCCAACAGATTGAATCCGTTTTTAAAAGTTTATTTTAAAGACATAATTTCTTAATTTCAACATATTAATTGCATAGTTGGCTGGTCAGTATCAGTAGTATTTCTTACCTTCTAAAAGTTATGGAACTCTGATCTTGATTAGACAGTCCTGTGATCTCTGTCATGATAAATATTTTGGAGAATGTAAATTAGGTTCTGTTTCACTTGATGGACAACAATTTAGGATGAAACACCTATCAGTGTATTGAAAGGGTACAAAATGTGATCTCTCTACTCTAACCAAGTTAAACAATTATATGTAGGTTAGATAGGAAATTTAACTCTTTAAATCATAAAAGCTTTATAAAAATTAATGCTGTATTTTTAGTACTTTATGTGTTTATTTTTCAGGGCAAACTTTTTGATTCTACAATAGCTGATGAGGGAACATGGACTTTGGGTAAGGCTAATCTATTATAATTCTTAGGATTTTTGCTTAAAATTAATTTTGTCTTGGAACTTGGAGTGTTTCCCCCTGTCCTTTGTATTTGCAACTTTGGAAGAAAAGTATTAGATTGTATTGAAACAATTGTATGTCAGGATCACCTGTGGTTTTTGAAAATATGAAATTTCATGATGAAGTTTAATTTTTTTGTGATTTTTGCTCAGAGGACAGAAAAATGGTCCGCATTGTTCTTACAAAGACAAAGAGAGATGCAGCAAATTGTTGGACTTCTCTCCTAGAATCTGAATATGCAGCTGATCCTTGGGTGCAAGACCAAATGCAGAGAAAACTTACATTAGAGAGATTTCAGAAAGAAGTAAGTTAGAGGAATATATAAATATATAAACATCTTAAAATCACAGGATAATTATTATTTGAAATTAAAACACATATGGTTATAAAAAGTTACAAAAGCTCTTTAGAGGAATTTTTTAAGTTAAATGGTTAGAAAAATGACTTACGTTTCTGTGTATTGATCTGATTTTTTAAAATTTTCTTGAGGGGAACTTGTTTGTACTGCCATGACTTCTATGTTTAAATTTATTTAACATATATCAGTAACTTACAAATAAGCTAACAAAAATTCCAGCAGTACAGACTTACATAATGTGAAAAAGTAAAAGATACCCTCAATATCTTCCCATTCCATGTCTTTGTCTCATTTTCAGCTCATCAGTTGGTTTGTTTGCTTTTTTTTCCTTAACATAAATGGAGGATCCCACTGTGTGTATTGTTCATGTTGCTTTTTCATTTACTAATATGTCTTGGGTCTCTTTCCCTACTGGTAAATATAGACAAAACTCATTCTTTTTAACTGCTTCAGAGTGTTTTCTAGTTTAAATATATGGTAATGATTTATTTAGCTATTCCCTTTTGATAAGATTTAGATTTTTCCATTTGTGTCTATGTCAAAGTTTGTGTTTTCATCTCTGTGAAATTATTTAAATGTTACTTTAAGATAACTATCTTAAATCACTGTCTCAAAGCACTGTTAGGGTCTTGATGGATGATTTCCATCAATATGGTGGCATCAATATGATTTCTATCAATATGATGATTCTTAAATGTATGTCTGTAACCTAGACTTTGCTCCCAGATTTTGGATATGAGTGTACAGTTAGTTGCCTATTCAGCATCTCCATGTGGCTGTCTAACAGACACATCGAAGTCAGCATATCCATCATAAACTCCCTAACTTCCCTTCCACATTTGTTCCACCTCTAGCTGCCTCATTTCAGTTGATGGAAATTTATTGTTCAGACAAAAAAAACATTGGGGAAATCATCCTGCACTTCTCTTTCCCCCATGCTCTGGCCAATTTGTCAGGAGACTTTATTGGCACTATCTTTTAAGTGTAGTAAAAGTTTGCTCCTTTCTCAGCATCAACTCTGCCACCACTCTGATCTAGACCACCTCTAATGTCTTACCTTGATTACTCCAATAACCTAATTGTTCTCTTCTACTCTTGCCAAGCTATAGTCTTCCCAAAATAACAGCTAGAAAAGTCCTTTTAAAATGCAAGGCAGACTACATCACTTCTTTTCTCAGAGTCTATCACTCTTGTAAGAGACAAAGCCTTTTATAAGGCACTATATGATCTGGTCCTCCATGATTTCCCCGACCTCTTCTGCTATCCTTGATTTCGGTCACTGCCTCGCTATCCTGGCTGTTTTGCTGTTCTTTGAGTGTGCCAGGCCATTCCTTTTCTGTCTTTGATTGCAGTGCTCTTCTCCCATAGTTTGGCTGCCTTCACTGTTTTCGAGTCCTTGTTCAGTGAAGCATATGATGATGTTTGATTATCCTACTTAAATACTAAATCTCCTCATTTCTCTTACTCTGCCCTTACTTTTTTGTATAACACTCACTTTTACCACACTAGATATCGGCTTGTAACACAGTGAATTGTGGCCTGTAGATGATGCCCACATATCATGTGTTGCCCAGTGCCTGTTTTTGAAGTAAAGTTTTACTGGAGCACAGTTCTGCTCTTCTGGTGGTGCGTTTTCTTTCATACAGCAATGGCAGAATTGAGTACTTACTATATAGACTCTATGGACTTCAAAGACTAAAGTATTTACTACCTTGCTCTTTACAGAGAAGCTTGCCAACCCCTTGACTAGATAAGTCAATGTTTATTTATTTGTCTCCTTCTAATTAGAATGCAAACTCCATTAGAACAGGGCTTTGTGTTTTGTTCACTTTTGAATCCCACATGCTTCTAATGGTATCTGCCGAACAGTAGGAACTCAGTACATGTTTGTTGAATAAATGAACCCTTCAAAAAAGACTAAATCTTGAGGTAGTACTTCTTTCATAGGATTATTGCTAAGGATTAAGTATGTTAATGTATATGTAACTGTTAGAACCATGCCTGGCATATAGTAAGCTCTCAAAAAATGCTAGCTATTATTGATATTAAAGTACACTTGTCAATATTGCAACACACCTATCAGTCTTCTAAATAGTTGTAAATCGGAAAAGAAAAATATCTCATGGATTTTAAGTTCCATTTTGATGATTACAGTAAGGTTTGGTTGCTTTTCACATGTTTATTGGCCATTTAGATTTCCTTTTTTTGTCAGTTGCCAGTTCATGTCTTTTTACCATTTTCCTTTTAGGTTACTTATATTTTTCCTTACAAGTTTTATTTCATCACAGTTTTTTTTTTTCATATCTTTTAGAATCCTGGTTTTGACTTCAGTGGAGCAGAAATCTCAGGAAACTATACTAAAGGTGGACCAGATTTCTCAAATCTTGAGAAATAACCAGTTTTTTATGCTGCATTCCATGGATCATAGCAGATGTTGTCAACTTAATCAAAGGAACAGATTATGTGGTAGAAGAAAAATGTGTGTGCCTGCACTTAACAAAATATATTTAACTATGGGTCTAAAATTGCATTCAAATATGATTTACATAGGAAATATCTTAAATATTGTGGGTACTGTTCTATTAACTTGTGTTAACTTTTTCGGACTTATTTTTGCTAAGCATGAAGTTTTATATGCTGTATTTTACTAATTTCATATTTAACCTGTATTTTTAATACCAAAAACATTACAATATAGATCATGTGAAATAAAAGGGTAGCTTCAGGAAAAATTAAGTTTTTCTTTCAATAAGTATGATGCAGGAATAATATTCAATAAACTTTTCTAAATAGGAATTGTGTATCCTTTTGTCTAAGAATACCAATTCACATGAAGAAATTAAATTACTGGAAAAAAATTTTAAGAAAGGAAATAAACAATTCATAAATGTATCGAGTAAGTTAATTTTAAGAGTTAAAGAAATAGTTAAACACCCAACGTGGTTTTAATAAAAAGAGAAGCAGTGAAGTGAATATGGTTTTTGGGCAAATCCTTTATTAGGTACAAAAAAGCAAATTATGCTCAATGATTATGAGTCAGGTGGTATTTTGCTCTTCAGTGATCCAGATGTATAGGTAAGAATTGTCAAAAAATTTTTCATTCTTTTTATATCCTTGTTAATTGTGAAAAATATTTTAGACAGTCTCAAATGTATGCAAAAGTTACAAAGTAAAGTACATAGAATTGTTTACTTCCTGAACTGCTTTTGTGTAAGTTGACAGTATGATACCCCATCATTTCTGAGTACCTTAGCATGTATTTCCATCAAAGGACATGGTCTTACATAATTATTGTACAACCATTAATACCAGGAAATTAGCATTGACATGATCATCTTCCTCAGACCTTCATTCCATTCAGTCAGAATCATCCCTTGCCTTTAGAAATCAGATGTCTTCAGTCTACTTCAATCTGAAGCAAGTCTTAATAATTTTTTGCCTGACTCTTACAGCTTCGGCATTTTTGAAGAGAACAGACTAGTTTTGTATAACATCCCTTATTTTGAGTTTTGTTTGATATTCATGATTTGATTTAGGTTATACAACTTTGGAAGAAAAGTTACAGGAATCATGCTGTGTTACTGTGTCTTATCATGAGTTAATTTCAATTTGTCCTTTTTCTGATGGTGTTAGATCACTGATTAAGTGGTATCTCCCACTCATCACTGTAAAGCTACTCTTTTTATGTTATAAAATATTTTGTGGGAAGGTAGTTTCAAAGCACTTCCTTGTTTCTTATCAAACACTCAGCTTATTTATATAGACTAAGGATTTCCTAATTTATTCAGTGGCTTAAAATCTATTATTCCCATTACTTTGATGCTTAAAATTATCCTCGATTTGGCCAGTGGAAGACCATTCTAAGTGGCTTCCCTGCCCTTTTGACAGGTCCCTATCAATTTGCTATGACCCTATCATTATTTGAGCAGTTTCTTACTCTCTGATGTAAGATATACCTCGCTTATTGTGCTTTCCCTGCCCTGTTTTTCCAAGGACAAGGAGTCCTGGTTCTCCTTAGGAATGGTAGTTAGAAGTGAAGATCTGTGTCTAGTGAGTAGTTGATGTGTATGTATAATGCATACATTGACATCTATATTTGTTTCTACATCTATTTATATAGAAAGCCATCAGTTCACACATAAATTTTCATTTCCATAGGGTTATTTTATTTTATCTTTTTCTATATTTATAACAACGGTGAGAAACCTGACTCCTGTTCTCTTTAGTGTATTTAGTTCCCTATTACAGGTAATCTCCCCACTTGAGTGCCTTCCTTACGTTGCCTAGGTTCCAGCACCCTATGCCAAGCAGGGATATCCTCCACCTGCTTGGACACAAACCACCCCACTCTGGGCCACTGTCACCCAGCTATGCCCTTTGGAGGAATGCCAGTATTGTTCACTTAATAACTTTGGGAATGAATTTTTGGGAAGATGCTTTTTTCTTTTAATTGGCTTCTCTTTTTGACATTAAGAAAATTCATATTTTGAATAAACATACAGCAAATTAACTTTTTTTCATAATTTTGTGAATTTTAACTTGTAGAGATGTGTAAATACCTCCAAGATTAGGGAATTGAACAGTTAAATCACACAGTCTTGTGCTCACTCTTTATAGTCATCCTTAACGTTTAGCCTCAAACTCTGGAAACCAGTAATTTAGTCTCTGTCTCTATAGTTTTGTCCCTTCAAGAATGTCATGTAAATGAAATCATGTGTAATCTTTTTAAAACATGTTTTATTGAGATATAATTCACATACATTTCACTCAAAAGTATAATTCAGTGGTTTTTAGTAGTCACATATATTCAACCATCACCACAGTTAATTTCCATTTTTATCATCTCAAAAAGAAACCATACCTTTTAGCTATCACCTCCCTCACCCCTGCTCCCTTTTCTGCATCCCCCTTAAGGACCACTGATTTATTTCCATCTCGTAGATTTCCTTTCTGGAAATTTGATATACATGGAATCAGTAATATGTGGGCTTTTGTTACTGGCTTCTTTCAATTAGCATAATGTAGAGGCTCATCTGTGTTCTACTACGTGTCAGTACTTCATTCTTCTTTTATGGTTGCATAATGTTCCCATGTGTGACCACTGTGTGTTACTCCATTTGTCAGCTAGTGGACATTTGGGAGGTTTCCATCTTTTGGCTACTATGACTAATGCTGTTAGAAACATTCAGGTACCAGTTTATGTGCACATATATTTTCATTTCTTATATAGGAGTGAAATTTCATGTCACTGGAAATTTTTGTTTCATGGAGGAACTGCTAGAATTGTTTTCCAAGCAGTATATGAGAGTTCCAATTTCTCCACATCTTTGCCAACACTGTTTATGTGACCTCATGATTCTAGCCATCTTAGTAGATAGAACGTGGTACCACATTGTGGTTTTGATTTGCATTTCCCTGATGACTATGCTAAGCATCTTTTCTTGTGCTTATTGACCATTTGTACATTTTCCTTGAAGAATTGTTTATTCAGATCCTTTGCCCATTTTTAAATAAATTCTGGACACAAGTCCCTTATCAAATATATGATTTGCATATATTTTCTTTTGTGTAGTTTTATCCATTTCTTTGGTGATGTCTTCAGGAGCATGACTGTTAATTTGATGTGGAGTCTAATTCCTCAGGCTGTGGTGGACTGTGCTTTTGGTGTCATGTCTGAGAATTCTATGTAATCCCAGGTCATAAGGATTTTTTTCCCAGTGTTTTCTTGTAAAAGTTTTATAATTTTGTTTCTGTTTAGATCTATAACTAGTCCATTTTAAGCTATTTTTTGTATAGGCTGTAAAATGTTAAGTGCCGGTTCACTTTCTTGCATATGGATATTCAAGTGTTTCAAAATCATTTGTGAAAAATTTCACCCATTAAATTGTTTTGTACTTAGGCAAACAATCAATTGCTATTTATATGGGTCTGGCTTTGGTCTCTCTCTTCCATTGATCTGTGTGTATATCCCTTTGCCAATACCACACTGCCTTGATAATTGTAGCTTTACAGTAAGTTTCAAAATTGGGTAGCATTGATTCAACATAATTTTGGCTATTTTAAGTTTCGCCTTTCTGTAAAGATTAAGATCAGCTGGACAAAAAGTCCTGCTGGAGTTTTCATTAGAATATCATAAGTCTTCCAATCCATGAACATGGGGCCTTTCTCCATTTAGGACTTCTTTGGTTCCAGTCATCAGTATTTTGTGGTTTTCAGCTTATAGAACCTTTATGTCTTTTGTTAGATTTATTCCTAAGTGTTCATTTCCTGGAGCTGTTCTAAATTCCTTTTTTTTTTCTAATATTAATGACGAAATGGCACATTGCCAGTGCATAAATGTTTGATTTTTGTTTGTTGACCTTATGTCCTGTGACCTTGCTAAACTTAACCAATTCTAGTTTGTTGACTTCTTGGGAATTTTCTTCATAAACTACAAATAAGAACAGTTTTATTTTATCTGTTCCTAGTTTATAAGTCTTCTATTTTTTTTTTTTTGCCTCATTGTACTTGGTAGAAGTTGTGAAAGTGGCTATCTCTGTCTTCTGGATGTTAAGTTTTGAAAGCATTCAGTCTTTCATCATTGAAGTATTATGTTTGCTGTAGATTTTTATAGATCTTTATCAGGTTGAGGAGGTTCCCATCTATTAATTCCTAGTTAGCTGAGTTTTTCTTAGGTTTTGAATTTTTGCAGATGCCTTTCTGTCAATTAATTTGATCATGTTTTTTTTCTTTACTGTTAATATGGTGTCTTATCCTGAATATATTGATTTTTGAACTAGCTTGTATCTACTCCTCCTATCCCAAATTTGGTCATGATATAATATTTGTGTCTGTTCATTTGGGATATTGGTCAGTAGTTTCTTTTTTTCTTTCGTTTCATTCTTGGTCTTATCTTTATCTTGGTTGGGTATCAAGGTAATGCTGGTATTATGGAATGAATTGAGAAGTGTCTCCTCTACTCTCTGAAAGAGATCTGTAGAATTTAAGCCAAATTCTAAGTTTTAATGTTTTATGTGTTTTGTCTGTAAGATTTTAAACAGTGGATTCAATTTAAAAAAATAACTATAGAACTTACTCAGGTTATCTATTTAGTTAAGTTTTGGTAATTCATGTTTTTCAAGGAATTGATTCATTTCATCCAATTACATGCAGAGTTGTTTGTGGTATTAGTATCCTTAGGGTCTCTAGTGGTATCTCTTTTATTACTAAGATTGGTTATTTTTACCTTTTTTGTCATCTTGGTAGAGGTCTGTAAGTTTTATTATTCTTTTCAAAGAACTAGTTTTTGGTTTTGTTGATTTCCATTTCATTATATTTTACTCCATTTTTATGACTCCCTTCTGCTTGAGTTTATTTTGCCCTTTTTATTTGAGAGCTTTTTTTCTTAGAAACAGTTGATACTGTAAATTACTCTCAAGCACTGGTTTAATTGAATTCTATACATTCTGATATTTTTATTTTCATTCAGTTCAAAATATTTTATTTCCCTTGAGACTTCCCCTTAGAACCAGGAATTATTTAGAAGTCTGCTTAATTTCCAAGTGTTTGGAGATTTTCCTGTTACCTCTTAATAGATAATTGATTTCTAATTTATGGTCAGAGAACATACTTTATGTGATTTGTTCTTTAATTAAAAATTTTTTTTAACCCAGGGTATGTTTAATCTTGATGAATGTTCCATGTGCACTTGAAAAGACCATTACTCTGCTATTTTAGGTTGGTTTCTTTTTTTTTTTTATGTCAAATGGATCTAGTTGGTTGTATTACTCACTTCTCCTACCTTGATTTTCTGATAATTCTGTAGATTTCTGAGGAATGCTGAAGTCTACAACTATAACCAAAGCTTTGTCCATTTCTCCTTTCAAGGCTGTCAGTTTTTGCTTCTTGTATTTTTAAGCCCTGATACTAGGTGCATATACATATTTAGGAATGCAATGTCTGCTTGGTGAATTGGTTCTTTTATCATTTAATATCACTCATTATTCCTGGTCATTTTGATTGCTCTTAAATCTACTTTGTTGAATATAAAAAGTGGCTTATCTTTTAAGTTGTATTTGACTTATGTTTCTGGTTTATAAAAATTCAGGTTTCATACTGAGTGAGCAACAACACATTTTATAAAATTATCCTATTAGTATAAAATAGGAAAAATAAATTGAGTATTAGTCTTCTGTTGTTATGGTGGTAGCACTGGTTAATGTGACCCGAATATAGTCTTGAGTATAAGTTATACAATTTCACGAGTCGCTTTAATAATTATTTTGGGAGGTAATGTACAGAGTGGTTAGGAGCACAGCCTTTTGGTCAGAACTTCTGGGTTTGCATCCCGCTTTCACTTACTTTGTATGTGACCTTGGGCTAATCATTTACCTTCTCTGTAGCCCCGATTCATTTGCAGATTGGGATAACCTTATTTAATTTGGAGCATTACATGAGATGATTCATATAAAACATCTGACAGTAGTATTTGACAGTAAAGACTATCATTGCTAATCACAAATGTTTGTTTTTAGATAGTGTGTTGTGTATTTGGAAATACATATAAGGAAATACATATATGCTATTTCTAAAAAAATAGCATAATGTGAAAGATGGGTTATTAAATATATTTTAGCCAAGTGCCAAAGAAACCTTTTTTTTATAAAAGTTTTTTTCATCAGTAATTTCTTGCAGTATCCATATTATCTTGTTAGTGTTGTTAAACATAAATCATGTATTGTTTTAATTCCACTAATAATTACCAATTGATCTAAATAAACAGGCCAACATATACCTATCATTACTAGTCGTCCTGTTGGAATGCTCTTTAATTAGGAAAGAGGGTCTGCACAGTACTTTAGGTGAGCTGAACATAAGGGTAAATTTGTGTTAAGGATATCCATAGTAGTGATAAATGTAAACAAGTGACCATTAGTGCATAAACACCAACTTTTAAATGCACATTAAGCATCTGTTATCATCTTGTGTCTATTTTAAAAAGAACATCAGAAAGAGCGTCAATTAGGTAAAGCTATACTATTGAGAGATTTTATTCCTGCAACCTTGCACTTTAGTGCTAAATTTAAATATATTGGAGATAGCTTTTTTGTGTTCCTGCTAACACACTGCCAAAACAATTAAATCAGAAGAGAAACAAATAGAAAACTACCCAGCAAATGTATGCATTTCAATGACTTTATTGAAAGGTATATCCCTTAGTAGCAAAATTTAATGGTAGTGAAGTTTGGGAAAACTGAAAAGTTATCCATAAAACACAGTTTACAAAAGTGTAAGATATACTGTGGTTCTTTGGTTTATTATCCAGTTATTTATTCATAACATGATGTCAAAATCAGGTACTGCCATTCTGGATGGACTTGGGCTGCACACTGCACTGAGTAACCGTTTACAACACTTTTAATGCTGTAGATCTCCTTACACTGACTGACTTAGTAGAAAATCCTGAACACTACCGTTGCAACCTGATAATTATGAAGATACCTACTTAAGATTTTCTTTTTGGCACAGTAGGGGCAGTTAGTGGACGTCTATTTACTTCCTTTAAAACAAAATTCAAATTTAGAAACAATGGCAATTTTATACAAACAGTCCTTAGTATAAAAACTTCTGGAGTGTTAGTAAGTTTTTGGAGTGATGTTAATTTGATTTACTGATACAAAAACAAATTTTGTCAGTAGGACTAGATTGAGGCAGATTTTGTATAAAAATTTGTCATGGATACAAACATTACTTGTTTTCTAGAAAAAAACATTGAAGATAATATGTAAAGATTACTAGGTCTGCAGTTTTTTGCTTTATATAAAATGCTCTCAAATTTAAATTAATTCCTATGTAGCAATGAAGTCCGCATTTCTGGATAGTCAGTTACTTGCTTTATGGGTCACAACAAACCACTTTTACTGCCTAAAATAGTAACATTTGTTATACCTTAAAAGTGCATTTCTGAAATGTTGGTTTTGATATAAGCCTCATATATTTAAAATTTAAATTAAGTAGGTCACCATTTTTAATATCATCTAAATGCAATATATTGACCCAATATACAAAGTAGGATCAATGTTAGAAATGAAGATTCACAGTTTATCTTGACAGGCTTGTCATTAGCATCTCACTTATGCTCTTACACCCTTGATTTTATGCTTCACAGATGAATTCAAATTTTAGTATAATTCCAGTTCAGAATAATATGCAGTTTTCCCAAACCTGAGCATCAATGCTACTCTAGTTGTGATGTTTTGAGGTCTCACAGCTTAAATCCATTATATTATTATGGAATCCATAGCTCAGGATTGTGGAGAAGGGCTTCCAAGTTTTCCATTGCCATAATAGTCCTATTTAAACAAAAAATCAAGTTATCAGAAGTCTCTATAATCAATAATACTATTAAAAATAAACTTCATATCTAAGATTCACAATATATGTAGATTCATTAAATGTTAACATTGAGTTTTGAGTTGGAAGTTAAATCACCACTGTGAATTAAATTCAGGTGGCAAGAACATCATCAGTGGTGTTTCCATTTTTTATGCATACATCTATGTACTTTCTAGTGTCTGAACTGCTATTTAAATGATGAATGATGTACAACTATAACGTTCAGATCCCTGACAGTTAACAGACACACACACCACTGTGGGCACCCATAACTTACTTTTAAGTTTATACTTTAATACCCCAGTTTATACTGATTTTAAAGGTCGTAAGTGAGTAGTCTCAAATTAGTTCATAAATGGTTCAAACTTTGGTCTGGTCTTACTTAGGCTTGTGTAACTTTAAATGAGCCAGAACTTGACTCTATATACAGCAAAATAATGTGCAATTTAAAAAATACTGTTTCTGTTTTAGTGCTACTCTTTAAGATTCAGATGAAAGAGGACGCTGTTTTCTAAGCTGGTAATTTAAGGAAATGGCTAACGTACATATCAAAGGTTGGGTAATTATTTACTCTCAGGGTCTCATACCTTGAATGGAGTAGATGCCCTCAAATATTAGCTGATTATCAGTGAAGTCATTCCCCTTGGCTATCTCAATTCCATTTTGTTTATTTGGAATATAATTCAGGTTTTAGTTATTGAATTGTAGCAGACAGAGCATTGGAAAATTTTCTGTATATGGAGAATAACTGAACTAAATTTACCAGTTAAGGGACCATTTCAGGAATTGTTGGAAGGTGGGTTATTTTGTAGTAACTATGCTTCAGTTGCCGTGCAGTACGCCCAGAAACAATCCATTTCAACTTCTGAACATTTGGTTTGGAACACTTGTTTGATGAATATTCAGTTAAACACTTGGATACGAGTTCTTGCCAGAAGGTCAAATCTCTGCCATTTATCTGTACATACATAAATTTAAAAAAATTATTAATGAAAATAAAAGTTCCACAGTATTTAACTACAACAATAATTGCAGTCTTATATATGTCTTTGACTGTCAAATGAACTTGAGGATAAGCTACTTAAGTTTCAAATAAACACATCTCATTTTACTTCAGGATATAAGTAGTATAGTTTCTTTCACAGTTGTTAACATGACTTGGGCTATGTTATGTAACATGACTTGACCTTGACATACCTTGGAATGTGTCTGAAGACATTCTACTCCTTCTGTTAACTCTACATACTTCTGTGCTTGGATCTCCAGTGCAATGATAGACAATGCCAACACAGAAGGCTAAAACAGATAAACTTTAAAGTTAATGTGGAATATAAAAAGATATCCAAATAGGTTTACTCTTTACAAAATACTTACCTTTGCTTTAGAAAATATGATCCTGCAGTGGCATGCCTTAAGTTGAGCTTCTAGTCTTTCAAAATTAAGGCTATTTTTCCTTTGGAGAGAATGAGATTAATGTTCATAATTTATAATAATCAAAAGAGGTTTTTATAAAAACAATTCAGTTTTAAAGTAAAGGTTTATATATGCTCTTACAGAAAATAAATTATTTGAAGAAAATAATTCCCCTTCCTTCAGAGACATTAACTTAAAAGATACCATACATAGATTTTTCATGATTTGGCCAAAAAATGAAAAGTGTCATGTCTCAACATCAAGGTTTTTAAATAGATCTATTTCTGCATCTACTGAAAGTCCCTTTTTTCCATAAATTTATGTTACTTACTTAAAAAATCCATAAGCTAACTAGTCTATAAATGGAAAATGTAGTAAAAAAAAAATTAGTTGAAATGTCCTTTAAACTTAAGAATTAGCATTCACGGACTTTGAACCATTGACAAAAAGTTTTAAGTCTCACTTCTGCTGGACAGTAAAATGAAATTCAAGGAGCTGCAGCTGTCGTTTTACTTACTTTGATTATATTTTTTCCAGGATATTGATTTTACACAAATCCATTACACAATCAGTAATACTGATTTCCAAACCTCTTTTGTTCAAAACAAAGATCACATACCTTTCAAATGGCAAGTTCTCTTGAATGAGTGAGTAATAGAGTTGTAGAAATTGAAAGGCAGTAGTAGCTTTAACTTTCCAACACACCTTCTCCAATACAATTTTTTCCATTCTCATCAGGTCTGAAACTGTGAACCTATACTGGCTTATTCGGATCAAGTCAGTTGCCAATGGGACATTCCTTTCCTCTTCTACTGATTTTACAGCTAAATAGAAGCAGCTCAGACCAACACACCCCAGGTGTTTGGGCTGTACCTAAAAAGACAATAAGCCCACGTCTTTAACCTATTTCAAAGAAAAAAAACAATAATGTAGAACTCAGGTACATCATTACAAAATGCATCTTTCAGGTATACTGCTCAACTGTAAAGGACTTAACAAGATCCACTCATACCATATCTGTAGCCCATCAACCTTATGCACCCCACCTGGAACCAATTTTGGAATAACTGCACTGTTTCAGTACAATGTTTAGCTTCAGCACATAAATTACTTATTTTTAAAAAAATCACTAGCCGAAGTACTGTGTTCTAGTCCACTGTGTTGCACTAAGAAAGTTAACTGGTCAAAGACTCTTATGATAAAGACGACACACTTCACAGGGTGTGCACAAATTTCTTTCCAGAATGTGTTTTTCTAGGCTCTTTTCTTTGTAGTAATACATGTAAAAGAGTTAAGAAATACTACAGTACCACTATTTACTATAAGGCTTTATCTTCTACTCTTTTTTTTAATTCATTTTCTGAATCTCTCCAAAGTGAAAAACAGTCAATATTCTATTTATTCTAAATTTCAGCTCAAATGAAATTTTAAGAAGTCTTTACCAATGTCTGTGGGCTCTTTTTGGAACCCCTTTATCAATATATTTATGCCTTTAGAGGTACAATTAATTACATCTTAATATTCCTATTATTATGATAGTTAATCAGTACAAACATTATTCTAATAAATTGTAATATACTTGTGTGACAAATGTCTATTATTCATCTGTGCAACATCTGTAGATTCAAAGGTAGTGCCTACATATAATGTCTAAACAGTTGTTTCATTAGTCTTTTGAACTAGTTTTTTGAACTATCCAATTCAACAAAATACTGAGTTCTTTCTGTAGTACTGTGTTGGGTACTGAGGCTACAGGATGAGTTTCATTCTAATTGTCACATTATCTCCTCCAATGACCACAGGGACACTGAGAAGGCAGAAGTATTTTTAAATACACCAACTGTATGTGAAAGCTATACTAATGTCCTGTTTATCCAATATAAGAAATTATATAAATGACCCTCCTTAATAAGATATTCTCTTTCCTATGCAAACTGATGTTGGAAATTCCAAACAGAAGTCTTGAGTAAGTCTAAGGCCCCAACAATTAGAACTTTGTATATAAGTAGAGATTAAGAAATGTACTCTATTGGCCAGATGGTTCATGGCATTAAAAAAAAAAAATCTAATTAATTTAGCATTCTGCCTCTAACACAATTCTTTAAAATTAAAAACAACAGTGAATAAAAATAAATGAAAATACTCAATATATCAAGAAAAATTTTTAACCACTAACTCCTACTTGAAGACTCTCCAATTAATTATTTGATATTACTTTTATAATGTCAGAAGTTAAGTTTCATACATGATGCATCACTTCTGATTTTAAGGGAGAGTACCCACGAATGCTGTACACCGAATTCGGAGAGTACACCGAATTGCCACAATGTTTTGGCTACTTGCTTAAAATTAAGCTCAGGTTTATGAATACCAACCCCAAACTAGCAAGTCCATCTCAAAAACACATTAAGCAAAACTAAGAAATACTCAGGGTAATGTAGCTTTAAACATACCTTCATTTTGGACAGGAATCTGTCCAGTAAATTCACAGCTAGAGAGAACGTTTCCGTGTCAAAGCCAAAAAACTGAGTTAGACTAAGAAGATCTTTTACTTCAAAGTCCCTTAGCCTTGCCGTCATTCTGAGGCCATTATCATGTGCTGATTCAATTAGTCTCAAGCCGCAGACCTTTGGCTGACATCTCAACTCCTGTTCCAAAAGGGCATTCAGCTGGTGTAGCAGTTTCTGAGAGTCAGTTGTTAGTACCTCTATCATCTATATATAGAACAAAGACCAGAAAGGAGTGTAAGAATAACCCTTCTTGCCTTGTATTGTGCCAAGTGCTTATAACCCGTCTTGCCTTCCCCAATGCTGCTAGTAAATCAAAGTCACTGCAAAGTGCTGTTATCTGCACACAACCCCCTTGTCCTCCACCAGTTCGTCATATACTAAATTGTGAGTTCCTGGAGGTCAGGAGCCATACCCTAAAAAACAAAAACAAAAAACAAAAACAGCCTATCTTCAAGAGATGCTTAATTTAAGTCATTCACTGTCAAGAGATAACTATGAATAAACACCCTAAGACAGGATACCAAAACTTTGAAATTAGACGGTAGTATGTACTCTGCCATATATTAACAACGTGACCTGTTCAAGTTCACTAATTTTTCTTAGTCCTTAGTTCCTCATTTGCAAAGTGGGTGTGAGGTTATTACTTCGGATAATGTGAGAAACAGAGATCACCTAGATACAGAGCTTAGCACCTACAACAGGAGCCAAATGAACACTGGCTAACAATGGTGAACTTCCACGTTTGTAAAATAAGGTAAAAATGTCTCTTTGAACAAGATCCATGAAGAATTTAACACACTGCTTGGCACACTGCGCGGCACACTGCGCTGAGTTATTTTTATTTGCGTTAGTAAAGGAAGTTTAAAGGGTGCTACGGGAGCACGTAGTAAAGGTGCGAGGCTAATTTAGCTGCAAAACGAACCTTGGAGTTCCGTTAATTTAAGATGGGTACGACACATCCATGCGCTGGGCACAAGCTAAGCCGCGGATATACGGGCGGTCCCTCCCCACACCAACTGAAAACAGCAAGGCAGGGGATCTTCAGAGCTGGGCAACGTAAAGGGTGGGCAGACGGAGAACCACTCACTTGACGGGTTCACCTCCGTCGCCCCTAGGCCGGTGGCTGGAAGGGGCTAACACCAACACCTCCGCAGGCCGGACCTGGCCCCGCCCCCGGCGCAGACTAGCCCGGACTTGTTGCTTACGGCAGCGGGAGAGTTAACCGAGGAACGGGGTGGGTTGGAATCAGCCCACCTCTCATTCCAGCCCTGGTCCTGGTCCCTACGCGCACCCCGAAGTCAAGCCCGCAGTCCCGGCTCACCTTGCTTGTGACTGCGGCTCCTCGGCGATAAGCACCCTCCCCGGGCCTGCTCTCACCTCACCCCACGAACTAGATCCAAGAGGCCTACAAGACTAGGGCACTCGCGGGGAAGAGGGGAGAGGCCCGGGGAGGGAGAGCCGTCCTGGGTGGAGGTCTCCGCAGCGCCGCCCGTACACAACGCCCACCTCGGGGTGAGGTCGGAGCCGAAGGGGCCGCGCTTGGGCCTCGGGAGAGATATACTGGAGGGCGGGGCTTTCCCGCGGATGGGAGAGAGGGGCATTTTCGCTGCTGATTGGTGAAGTTCTATTGATGGATGGCTCCCGCGGCCCAAAGAGCGCTGGTTTGTAGAGGGAAGAAGTCCGGCCAATCAGCACACAGTTTCCCTTGGAGTCAAATTCCCCACCCCCCCAGACCACACCCCACACCTCTACGCGTCTCTCATTGGAAGATTTTCCGAAGCGCATTCAATGAAGAGGAGGGAGATGTAAATGATGCTCGCTCCAGCCTTGGCTCGGTAAGGTCTTTGGGGGAAGTTGGATTGGCCAGGCGATCATTCCAGTACTGGGAGTTTTTGCATGGTTCAGTTCGTAGAGTGGTTCGGCCCCTCTCTTTCTAAAAATACAGTGTCTATTTACAAAAATTAAGTAAAGCCTTGATTTTTCATTTTCATTACAAACGGAGAGTGACGGATTTGATACGATGTGGTTTATTAAAACTCCAAAGGTTTTTACTTGTGAGTTTTGGAAATCAGTTGATCCTTACCTTATTTGGCTTTTTGTATAGTTTATCAAAGAATAATTTCTTGGTCATTTGCTTAATTTCTGAATTTTGTTTTTGAGAAAATTGTAATAGAAAAGTTGGTAGCATTTCAATGGCTTCAAAATAAATGTATGGTTGAATCTTGAAAACGTGGGCAAAATAATTGCAGTGACTATGAATCTTAGTCCAGATTTGTGTGTGCAGCAATATTATGCTTTTTATTTACTATAAATAAATGAATTGAATCTCTGGTTGTGAGTTCCTGTGCCAGGTTGGTGAGAAAATAATTAGCCTGGGTCCTTCTTGAACTCTCCCTCCTTTGTTCCCTCCCTCTCTGATTGTCACACATGAGAAGGGTGTACATTGAAAGGGTCTGAGGACTAGTGAGCAAGGAGTCAGTTATCAGTTCTCATGGATTATGCTTGCATATTTCTGTTCTCATGGCCTCTTCTGAGTTAGTGACTATTTGGACTTTGAAAAAGTGAAAATGCAAAAGATTTGCTGGCATCTCTGCAGTTTTCACTGCCATCTGCTTCCCTTGAGGCAATGCCACAGAACCAAGCCCTGAAATGGAGACAGAGTTGTGGGGAGCAAGTTAATACCTCAAATTAATACATCAGCCACATAATCAGGTCAGTTTGACAAAGTGTGGCCTTTGACATGGGCCTTGGTCCTCTTTGAAAACAAACTTACAAAATAATATAAATGGACAATTTAAAACACTTAGAAAGTATTTTTTACAATAATGTATGAGTTTACAAGTGTGCATTTTTCACTTTTTGGCTTTTAGTAACAAATTTAGGAATATACATGTGCACTCATTCACGAAAATCTATTGGACACATACTATGTGCTAGGGGAGAACAAAATATACTGGTCTTTGTGGATCATGTAGTCTTGTGGACAGAAAACAGAGATTTGGAAATAAAACTTACTTTCAAATCACAGGCTACTATTGATGTTTAGTAAGCTATTAAATCACATTGAATTTCCACTTTCTTTTCTTAAAAATAGGAAGTAAAAGTACCTTATTCATTATTGAATAGGTTATTGAGAGGATTATATGGTGCAGATTACACAAAGAGTTAGGTGCTGTGCCCAGAACACAGTAAATATTTGATAAACGGTATCCTTCATTATTAAATCACTAACATTTCTTTTGAAATGTCTTGTATAAACTATACATTTGATTGTGTTTTCTCTATTGTCAGATTTAGTCTTCTATTCTCAGCCTAGACTCAGAGTGTAATATTTAACACTAAAAAGAGTGTCCAAATGGCATGTATTGATTTCTGCACCTCATTTATGCTTGAAATTTTCACACGAGACTTTAGGTAAATATCATTGTTTATGTGATAAAAATGTTTTCCCTCACATTAGGATTTCGTTACTATTAGAATTACTTTCTTTTAGAATCTGAAATTCTCGGAAAAAAAAAGGTTATTTCAGTAGCACTGAAGAAACATTGGTTAAATATAAATCAAGTCAAATAGATATTCTTTTATTACTGAAGTATAGTTGACATACAATATTATATTAGTTTCAGGTGTACAACATAGTGATTTGAGATTTATATACATTATGAAATGCTCTCCTTGTAATGCTGGAGAAATTCTGTATAGTCTGATTGCTGATAGGGAGGCAGGGAGAAGGGTACTAGATTAGTAATGTCAGAATCCAGACATTTTGACTACCTCAGATACAGTAACCCCTTTCAGTTAATTAAGGTTTTATTATATTACACAAAAAATTAGATTTATTTGTCAAACAACCACTGCTCTTTGAAGACACTGGAAGACATTGGGGGACATAGACATCTCTCACTTCCTCACATTTAGTCCTAATGGCCTTACAGTCTGTTGAGTTTGGGGCTCAAAGCCAAGTCCAGCCAATAATAAAAAGGATTTGTACTTGTTATGTATTCCCTATGTGCCAGGGCCATGTCCTGAACTTAAGCACATGATCTTATGTAGTCTTCTAACAACTCTGATACTATTATCTTCAAAAATGAGGGATATTTTGTGTACCTCTTGTTTAGTAACTACTATATACTATTGTTAAATATGCTTTACATACAACTTGAATTTTGGATTTTATTGCATTAAAAAAAAATTCTTATTTTGGAAGCTTTCAAACTCATTACCTGGTTTCACAAATTACCAACATTTTGCCAGTGTTGCCTATTTACTTTCTGTTTGTCTGACTATTCAACACATGTTTGTTGAGGACTTCTTAGGTGCCAAACCATTGTGTTAGGATGGCTACACCTTTAAAAAGTCACAGCTTTTGGGCCACAGGTCGTGCTGCTGTCATGCTCTGGGAAGGTCAGGGATGGAAGGATCAGCTGGTCATTGTTCTCCAGGAGGACCTCTGATCTGAAGCCTGCACAGAAGGTGTCTCCACAGTCTGCTGCTTTGGTAGGAGAAGATGGCAATGATGAGGGATAAGAATTTCCTTTCTTATTTAGGTTTCTATCTAAGTTGCTCCCCCAAAAGTGTTTGCATATGCCCACATACACACAAACCTTAAACAAAAGGCTTTGACAGAGTTGAGATTGGGGAAATGATGTATCATGCCTGGTAATCTAGCTTTGTGGTCCCTCTGCATTGTACTAGAATAAGGCACCTCATAGGTCAGGACTTTTGTTCTCTAGATTGGCCTTAAGCTGGTGGAAGTCTTACTTGCTTCAGGTCACCACTTTCCTCATTTCTTTAGCCTTTTAACTTTGTAACTCCTGACCTGAGTTTTGAAAGGTTTCATTAAATGAAGCGGCTGATGCAAAAGGCATTCTGGACTAATTCAACAGTATTTGCAAAGGCACAGAGGAAAGACAATTTTGATTTCTACAAATGAAATATGGATTGCACTGGCTAAAGTATGGAGAGTGTAGGGGGGTGGTATCTGGCAATGAGATGGGGAGAGAAGCAGTTGTTCACCTTGAAGGGCCATGATTACCATTCATGGAATTCTACACTTTATTCTTCAGGCTTTGGGGAACCAACCACAGCATTTAAAGAGAATGCTGCAATTGGATATGTGATTTAGAGTAACCATTTGGCATCAGTGTGAAGATTAGAAAGAGGGGTGAAGAGTAGAGTCAGGAAACAGTTAAGAGGCCATTGCCTTAACCTGGGAAAAATGAGACAGGATTGTATTGTGTGAATAAGAGTAGGGATGGAAAGAAAGAGATGGATTCAAGGCACCTTAGGAGATACAGCTGATGGAGTGTGATGTTTGATTAGATTTGATTGATTAGGGGATCAAGGAGAGGGATCAGGAATAACATGGAAATTTCTGGTTTAAGCAAAAGGTTGAATGGAGATTCTGCTTATGTCTTAAGATCAGGGAGGAGAAGAAAAATACTAGGCTTATGGGGAGGACTTTTGACCTAGGGACTTCCAGGTGGAGATGTCCAAAGGCACCTAGAGAAACATTTGGTGCTGCAGATAGCTTGGGGACTTATCAGAATAAAGGGGGTGATTTAAATCATGGAAGTAGATCAGTTATTGACAAGACAGGAGAGAACATGTTACAGGAATTAAAAGGAAGTGTTTCAGAGGGTGAGCACCAGTATCCGATACTGCAAAGAGGATAAAATGAAGTATAAACAAAAAAGAGAGAAAATGAAATCAGTGAATGTATAAACCACTATTGTAAGGAGCTTCACTGTGAGGCGTAGAGGCAATAGCTAGAGGGTGGACATGATGAGAGAGAGATTTTGCTTTTCAGTGATGAGCTAGACTTGTGCATGTTTAAATAATGACAGGAAAAAGCCAGCGGAGAAAAGAAGCATCTGACTACTGGAACAGTCTAAGGCCTCATATGACACTAGTCAATTTACAGTCAGTCAGCTGTGTTGTTATAGGAGCTTTTGGTCAAATACAGATTACAGTGGAAGTAAACAACACAAAGAAGCAGAAAGTCTATGAAGTTAGCATGCTGAAAATTCTCTAAATGGATGTAAAGAAATATCACTAAATGCTTTATAATTGTTTAAGTTTTTGTTATAGCTGTTTTATATTCATAATCCAGTTTCAGATTATTAAAAGGGCTCTCAATGGTTTAAAAATATTCTGGCTTAAAAAAAAATTCTTATTTTGGAAGCTTTCAAACTCATTACCTGGTTTCACAAATTACCAACATTTTGCCAGTGTTGCCTATTTACTTTCTGTTTGTCTGACTATTCAACACATGTTTGTTGAGGACTTCTTAGGTGCCAAACCATTGTGTTAGGATGGCTACACCTTTAAAAAGTCACAGCTTTTGGGCCACAGGTCGTGCTGCTGTCATGCTCTGGGAAGGTCAGGGATGGAAGGATCAGCTGGTCATTGTTCTCCAGGAGGACCTCTGATCTGAAGCCTGCACAGAAGGTGTCTCCACAGTCTGCTGCTTTGGTAGGAGAAGATGGCAATGATGAGGGATAAGAATTTCCTTTCTTATTTAGGTTTCTATCTAAGTTGCTCCCCCAAAAGTGTTTGCAT